CATGGGATCCTGTTCATCAAGTTAATAAACTGCATGCGCAAATAACAATTAACAGAGCTTTTTTGCTTACCCCGACCGGAGTCCCAGTTCCATGGGCTTCAAAGTAAGAAGTGTCTCTCATTGAGATACCATGGCGTTCGTAAACCGAACGAATCAAGTTTGCTTGAGACGTTGGATTGGGCAAGGTAATTCCAGGAGTCCGACCATCCTGATTAATTCCTGTACCGCGGATGATGGCTCGAATATTATCTCCGTCGGCCAATGCGGCACTGAGGGGTTTCAAAAGCACAGCACCAATGCCCTCTCCCCGGCCATATCCATTTGCAGACTCATCAAATGAATGACTTATTCCATCTGCACTCATCATGTGCATGTAGGAGAGTCTTTGTGTGAAATTAGGGTGCAAGATGAGACTGGCTCCAGTAACCAGGGCCTGCCACGAGCGTATTTAGTCCGTGCCAAGAACAGATATACAGATTGCAGTACTCACCATTCCACACTCTCCAGATCGCAAAGATTGGGCTGCTAGATGGACCGCAGTCAAACTCGAGGAACACGCAGTGTCCATCATGATACTCGGGCCCTGGAGATCAAAGAACCACGACAAACGATTAGCCAGCATTGTCCTTCCGTTACCAGTAGCTGAGTTGTGGGGCATATCATAGATATCTCTTGTCGACAATAGCTCATAATCATTGGTCATTGAACCGGAGTACACTGCTGTGTTACTCCCTGGAAGTGTGTCTATTGGTATTCCGCCTATTCCGCCCATTTTAGCTGAACTGGGTTTCCATCAGTTTTTTAATGTCGCTTGTCTTACTGTTTTCGAAGGTTTCATATGCGACTTCAAGCAACAAACGCTGTGCTGGATCCATGCCCGCCGCCTCTTTGGCTGTGATAGAGAAGAAAGGAGCATCAAACCGTGATGGATCTTCCTGCAAGAAAAATCCACTATCATGATTGATCTAATCCCATGACCTTGATGTTAGAATAATACACCAACTTCTAATCGGGGTACTCATACCGCTCCTTTGCGTTCATGGCTGGGGTGATGCCAAGCCGAAGCTTCATATCGGCTCGTGGGAACCATCCCATGCCCAGTACGCCCGTCGCATAGCATCTGCCAGAAGTTCTCAACAGATGTCGCTCCTCCAGAGAAGCGACACCCCATTCCAATCACTGCAATACCCTCCATATCTGAAGGCACAGAACTCGTCGTTGGTCGGCCAGGCATCTTGGGGGTATGGAATGGTTGAGAACAGGTTTGGATAAGATCACGGAGTAGGGATGCTGTGGGGTATTATACTCAATGCCGTGCATTCCAGGTTCGGCAAGACGCCGTTCTAATTGCAGACCATCAAACTGGCTATGAATCTTGGACGCTAGTGCCATTAACGCGTAAAGTGTCGCATATTCACATGCATATTTTACTGGCTATCCAAGCGGAGAACATGCAGTGGAGACCGGGACTAATTGGAAAGCGCTATGGATGATGTACTCCGTACTTTGTACATCAATTTACATCTAGGAACAAACCTCGGGAACATGGATCTGGCTAATGCAGTTGGATCTCAATCCCGATACTCGTGCAGCTCCGATGGCAGACTCAGTTCCACCATTTTCTCTAGTTTGCGTCTACTTGGACGCTCCTGCGGTGAAGAATACGAGAATTCAGTCAAGTGGAGACCATCGATCAACGAACTGGATCGTCAATGCCTCAAGATGGACCTGCTGTATATGTATGTAGATTGTACTGTGACATCTAGTTACCAGTATCGGTCACTGTATTTCAAGATTGCTAATATTCCATACTCCATCGACCCGCATGGTCTGCTCCACTATATTATATCACTAAACCAATGTCCGTGGTTGAAGATCGCCTATCAGGAGTTCTTTTCTGGCTTTTTTTTTTATTGAGGGGATTCCTATCCCGCAGTGGAGAAACCACTTTCCATTCCCAGCCCCCTATTTGAGACAAGTTCCACTTTTCGGATTCCCCGGGTACTTGCATTTCCCTTATTCCGTAAGTACATGGATGTATTTTGGAGAATATCAATCTTTGTCCATTGGGGCATCTGGAGGGCTATTTCTTCGGCCGTTATTATTATGTTGTAATCTCGTAAAAGTGATATTTGGCTGGGGTAACTGGGGGACTATTACTGGCATCATCTAGGCTAGCGGATCTCAATTCCACGATCTTCTGGGCTGCGGAGCTCATTTACAGTAGTAATTGACTTTATTGAAGCTACTAACACTTGCTTGCCCCTCCCCTCCACGCAGATCACCAACAATATATGGGGCACATTTTACCTCCATTTCGATGATCTCAGAAGCTATGTGCAGTACTCCGTAGTCTACGCTAGCTAAATTATCGCGCGGCAAAAAAAAAAAAAAAAAAAGAAGGAAAGAAAAAAAAAAGAAAAAGAAAAAGAAAAAAAATCCCCGTGCTTTGTCACAGCTCTTCAATAGTTCGATCTCGCTCGCAATCCTAAATCACCCTACGGAGTAATTCCAAGCCACATACGGAGAATTCCCGCAGTGCGATAATATCCCTCCCTTTTATAACCCCTAATTTGCCATATGAACGAGGTATCTGAAGACCTTCGGGCCATACCCCACCTCTCTCGCACACTTCATTTCCCCCTTGTTGCGACATCTGTTGAGAATGACTACCCAAAGCGCCATTATCGTCCAAGAAGCTGGCCGCGCAACGCTAGTAGGTGTCCCGCTCCCCGAGTTGCCGGATAATTACATTCTCGTCAAAACAAAAGCTGGTATTTTCTCCTTGTGCTCTTCTTCGCTCCTGTGGTTCATGAACAGCTGGACTAACACAGTAGGAAGTCGCATTGAATCCAACGGACTGGCGTCATATTGATTTTGTACCCTGTACCGGGGCTACCGTGGGCTGTGACTATTCTGGAATAGTAGAAGCCGTGGGGCCGCGCGTGAAGAAGGCATTCAAAAAGGGCGATCGAGTTGCTGGGTTTGTACACGGTAGCAATGCCGTTCGCCACAATGGCGGCGCATTTGCTCAGTATGTGATTGCAAAGGGCGACCTCCAAATATTGATACCCGAGTCCATGAGCTTTGAGGCGGCAGCCACCTTTGGTGTTGGATTGACAACTGTTGGTCAAAATCTTTACCAGAGCATGGAATTACCTTTCCCCGGCGATCAGGGGAGTGAATTAGATGACACAAATATCCTAATCTATGGAGGCGCAACGGCTACCGGTACCCTTGCGATTCAGTTGGCAAAATTATCGGGACTGCGCGTGGTCACAACATGCTCTGAAGCCAACCGCAGCTTCATGTTTGAGCTTGGGGCAGACGCGGTTTTTGATTACCACGATCCACTAGTGGGCGAACAGATCCGAGAGGATACTGATGATGCTCTCGAATTTGTCCTTGATACAATCTCCACGCCCCAATCGGCTGCCATCTGCAGTGCTGCCATTTCGTCAGCGGGCGGTTCCTACAATGCCCTGCTGGATGTACCATCAGCGAGGGATGACGTTGATTCACATGTCTCAATGGCATATGATGTCCTGGGAGAGCCTTACCGCATGGGAACGAAAGAGGTATCTCCTGATAGCACTAACTTTGAATTCGGCGTCAAATGGTGGGAATTGGTGCAGAAACTACTTGAGGAGCGCCGCATTCATCCTCATCCATATCAGGTGAAGCCAGGCGGCTTGGCTGGAGCGTTGGCCGGTCTCCAGATATTACGGGAAGGTAAAGTCCGAGCCTCTAAGCTAGTCTACCGGGTTGATGAAACCGAGTAAAATGTTAAACGAACAAACAAACAAGAACTTCTTGACTTATGACTTGCTATCGAAGTTCGATAAGACGTTGGATCTTCTATGACGAGAAAATACCTGTATGTATAACATGTATGAGTACCACACCATTAATTTCCGAATAAGATGAAGGAACTATTGCGATATTAGACAGATGAAGAGATACTACATATTTAACTGACTGGAAGATTGACGTATGTCCACCAATAAACTTTCTTTAGACAAGGGCATATTTTACACTAGTTAATTGCTCTTGTATTTACGTTGGCATCTATAGTTAATAGCCTTATTCGGAGGCAAGATGGTGTGCTGAGGGCCCTATCTTAAGTACCAGAATATCGGGAAGCATACTCAAATGAACTGCTAGGAGAAAGGGAAAGGTTTCCAACATAGATCCCACAGAATGTATTATAAACTTGAGTTTCAGAACATCCACAATTAACAGGGCACCAATAAAGACTTGGGTTAACAATTTGGGGCACACCCAAAACAGAGGCAAGGTATTTAGACTCGAACGATGGACGACACCCGGGTCTAAGAAAACATTTTTTTATGCGCAAGACGTACTTATTTGGTTGGTCTCTGTATTCCGGTGTAGGCGTGCAGTAATAGGCAACCAAACAGTCGCTCCTGGGGCTGATTGGGGAATGCTAAGAAGCTCACCATTTCCAGCTTTGTGAAGGGCTTACGTATGCTTCCTTTCCAAATCCAAGTTCTTCAAAAGTTTTACTCGCGGGTTGGATCTTGGAAGGTCGAGAAGGGAGCGAGATCTTCTGGGGTGAGGGCCACATCCTATCAAATAAAGAAGAGCTCCGAAAGCTGCTGAGGTGAAAAATGCGTAAAACAAAGAAATTGACTTTAATTTACGTAGATATGTTCTAGAGCAGTTTCCAGTAAAGCCATAAAACAGCGTGAGCATCCACTGAAAACAAAATAAAGAGAGCAAAACTCTTCATCAAAGATCCAAATCAATATGAAAAAGATCACGGAAGAGATGCACCAAATGCTAGGCAGAACCAACACGGCAATAGTCCAGCCACATTGTTCGGTCTGACCATTGATGACTGAGAAAGGGGCCAAGGGCTACTGCTTAAACCAATCCCTCCAGCCTCACCACGTCTGATCATTTATTTCATTCTTCCTCCTGCTTCTCGTTTTTAAAACCAACCAATTACTCCCTATCTGACTATTCCTTACACCGGAATGCGTCTGGTTCTAGCTCTCTTTGCGATTGCTGCGGCTGCCACTGCAGCATCTGCTGGCACGGTTCCCCCCGAGCTGGCAGTCATCGGCGAGCCATCGACCGTTTTGAATGTGACATATTCTGTGGGATTATCCGAATTCAGCTTCAAGCCGGCAATTTCCTCAAAGCAACCGGTATGTAAGAGACACCCCCGAGTTTCCTCTATAGTCTACCTATTCAAACTGACTAGAAGTTTCCAAATTCTAGTCGCCAAGGATGCACCACAGCCGCACCTGCATGACTTGGGATTGAGTAGAGCCAATCGCTACCTTCTGCTAATGGTTGATCCCGACTGGAACAAAACAAGTCCTCCATCGGTAATTGTGCACACTGTTGTCGCCAACCTGACCACGAATGTCAACAGTACTAGCAAGGCGAACGTAATCACGACATATGTTGCTCCCCAGCCCATGTCCGGAACACATAATTACACATTGTTCCTCTTCAACCAACCCTCCAACTTTAGTATACCTGTCCGCTATGCGTCCTTTATGGAGACGACCGATCAAACCCAGCTCAACCGATTGAACCTCCCCCTGGAGAATTTCATCAACCAGACTGGACTAGGAACACCGGTCGCAGCCAATTACTTCCGTGTTACAGCGAGCAACGGCACCAGCACCGCCACCGCCACCACCGCCAGCACAGTCGCTAGCAGTACCTCCAGTGGGGCAGCCATCAAGATGGTGGCCAGCTATTATCTGGCAGGTGCACTAACCCTAGTGAGAGCAGCTGTTATTGTTGTTTAAGTGAGTTTCTGCTTGTTATCGAACGAAATATACAGCAGAGTTGCTTGGATCTCACGTGTAGTTCCCTCACAGAGTACCGGAACCGTGGTGACATTCAGTCATTTCATGCCCATCTAGTGTAATTGCATTTCATTCAACAGTTCAACATCGCTGAGCTTGTACCCATTCGCGGTGGTGTTATCACCTTCGCGGCTCTTGCTGATAAATATGGGTTACCTGAGGCGGACTTTGCTACAAAATGCGGATGCGCGGTTTACATGGGTTAGATCACGGAGGCTGGAGGGGAGTTCGTTGGTGGTGGTGGATGCTATCTGGGAGGGGTAATCTAAGTTCAATCCTTCTCCCTGTTTATCGCAATTCAATGGGTTATCAGAATGGACGGTCCCTAGTGGTGAGTTGTGAGACCTGACAAGGGTCTACGGGGGCCTTGGGGGCCTAAGCTAGGCTTATTAGGCTAAGCTTTGCATACAACGTCATCCTCACTAGTCAGAATCCTGGCTCTTGCGTTTATAAAAAGGAGGGGTTTGTCTTGCTTCCCACTTTTATGATGGGTCGTCTAGACTTACCATGTGCACGGTGAATTCCTCCAATTAGAGACGCCGTATTCTAGCCCAAGATGACAGATACTGTAACGACCCCAGGCTGGTACCAATCCAACGTAACAACCATCGACCCCGAGGCCCGATCGCTTCTAGAGGAATACAGTGGCATCCAACCTGATGAGGTTCTGTCCCATGTTCTCGCCCTAGTAAGTTCGCCCCCTGCGGGCGTACAAGAGCCCATAATCCTACAACAGACTAACGCACTAGGAAAACGAATCAGCGAGATGAAGCTTTCAAAATTTTCCCTTACCCCTGCATCGGGCAAATGCGGTTTTTGAGCTGCCACCTCGCGCGCCTTCCATTCTATCCACGTGTGCTTGCTCGCCTCCGCGCCCACGCCTCCACAGGATTCCTCGATGCAGGATGCTGCGTCGGCCAGGAGCTCCGCTACTTGGTACATTGTGCTAAGATCCCAGCTCGGAGCCTGTACGGGTTTGATCTAGAATCCGGCTTTTTTGATCTCGGATACAAACTTTTCCGGGATAACGATGCAAAATTCCCTGCAACTCTGATTCCAGCGGATCTGGGGACCAAGGATTCTGAATGGGAAACATCCCCAGTTGTAGATACTATGCGGGGGAAGATTGATGTGGTGTGGGCGGGCTCATTGCTGCATTTCTGGGACTTCGAGGGGCAGGTGCAGTCAATCCTTCGGTTGATTGGGTTGTGTCGTGAGGACAAGGGAGTGATTCTATGTGGAAGGCAAATGGGGAGTTTGTTAGCTGGGGAGTATGTGATGACCGGGTTACAGGAGATAAATCACTATCGGCATAATGTCGAAAGTCTAAAGGGCTTGTGGTTCGAGATTCAGCAGAGGACAGGACAAAGGTGGGAAATCGAGGCGAGTTTGGAGGTTGGCGAGACGACGACCAAGATGCAGGGAATGAGTTTTGTAGACTTAAATGTGAGAGTCATCTGGTGGTGTGCCACTAGATTGTCTTAATCGCCCGAGGATTTTCTATACATCTTACTGCGCATCCATCGTCAGCTATGTTGCAAATAGTCAGCCGTTCGCACCATGTAATTCTTGTTTTTAAAAGTGATTCGATAGCCTTGGAAATAACTTAAATTGCTCTCTAACCTGCCCAGGCATGGGTGCCGGGTTTCACTGCAGCATCAATTACCATACAAGCGTCAATTATTGCATGTCAATTGAGCATCCCAAATATAATGGGAACCAATTAATCATTAGCATGTACAACATAGTAAGTAGAATGACAGGGGTTGCCAGAAACACCTATTGGCGGATATCTATATCCATTGTAACCACTAGCCCCTTCATTTGTATAGATCTCTTTTACTAAATCCCCAATGTGCAATTTGTACTAAATTGGCCCGCACTGCTTGATGATTCGCCCAGCCGAACTCGGGCCTAGCGCGAAGACGTGTTGGATGAATGGCTGTATGAGCCCTGGCCGGCGGTGGACTGGTTCTTAGTGTGGGATTCTCGCACGGTTTTCCGTACGCGAGAGATAATACGGGTGGCAGTCGTGCAAATAATGGCCATGTTGACTTGAATCACATCAAGTGGTTCAAAGGGCGCGGCACCATAAGGATACGCGGGGTGCATATCCGTGACAAGATTACTACAACGCAAGCCACTGTATACAGAATAATCGGCCCCTTTGCTTACAAGAAACATCTTGGGCATGTGTTGGTTGTACTAAGTGCATTGCTAGCTTTCACATTCTATTAAATACTCACAAATCTCTTAATGTACAATGTTACTAGTCCTGCATCCAATCCTCTAGGATCCCATCCATCATATCGCCATTAAGCAAGCTCTCATACACCATGCTTACCGAGCTACCGATACTCTTTTTGCCCTTTGTGGAAAGTCCTTTCTGAGCGTTATACAAAGGATCATCTTGAAGCCCACAGTTCATAGGGATGTTCAGCTTCGAGCGCACCCAGGTATAGATTTGTGCAGTCCCCCTACCAAGCTGCACGGCCACCTCCTCGGGGGAAATAGTCGGACCGGGATAAAACATTTCCTCTGCTGTGCTGGACACAACGATCCCAAATTTCTTCTTAAACGCGATGATAGTGGACACTGAACAATCAGGGTTGTGAGTGGCCATGAATACGTTCACTAACGACATAACAGCATCAACAACAGATAAAACACGGTCTTTCCAAGTATTCGAGTTTGCGCGATACCAACTCGACTGGACAATGGGCATGAGTGACGTGCATAGCATCTCAATCTGCGAGCCCTCTAATCCGAGTCCATACAAGGCTCCGCTTGGAGTGAAGTCCTCCATCTTGGTGCGAAGTGTTAAAAGGAATCGATTGTGGTTTGCCCTGATTTCAACACCCTGGCATGAAACATATATATGACAAGCACTCATGTGTGCCAACAGATCTGCAGCCTCCATAGTGCGTCGAGCTGAAATCAGAGCGAGTGAGTTGATACCCTGATTATGCATCTCAGCTGACATAACGTGGGCAGAGACGGGGTGTGCCAGGGCCGCCAACTCAGACATGTACGCTGACATGTTAATGTCGATTCCTTTCATTGTGAAGTTCTCTGATGCGGTGGCATTAAGATTGGCCTCGAGTCCATTATTTGTAGCAGGGTTGATCATCTCAGTAACCTGGGACCAAAGCATTCGGCCTATCATTTGAATGGCCAAACGAGCCTTATCCATTGCTGACGTGACGGCAGCTGCTTGGAAATTTCCACCAGAGTACACTCTTCCAGTAGAACCATCATCTTGCTTGCTTGTGTCCACCAGAGGGTTATCTGACGTGGAGTTGAGCTCCACTTCGAGCTGATGTTGCGCCAGAAGAAGGTCCTCGATGTACGGTCCAATCCATTGAGGAGCTGTTCTCGTCGAATACCGATCTTGGCAGAGTCCATCGCCAGATGCTTGCTGTGACTCCAAACCAACAACAAGCTTGGAGCCCCTCAAGAAGCGCCGGATATTGCTTGCCACCTCAATTTGCCCAGCGTGAGGTCGAGTCGCGTGAATAAAGGGATGAGCCCACTCTACATTCCCGGCCAAGCATTCCGAAGCGAAAGCCGTCAGCATTTGAGCCAACAACGCAAGCTGCTGCGTATCATACAATGCCAAGCTTGCTACTGCCACAGAAGGAGCAGTGCCGTTAATTAGCCCAAGTCCCTCCTTCGGGCCGAGTCCCGTCGGGGAGAGCCCGCTCATTTTCAAGGCCTCAGAGGAAGGCATAACTATGGCTTGTGCGCCCTGACCCACCTGGACAAAGACATCTGGGTTTCCCATAATTGCTCCAGCGATGTATGCCATAGGCATAAGATCTCCAGATGCAGAAATGGTGCCCCTAAGTGGAATTAGGGGAGTAATACCGTTGTGCAGCAGGTCAACCAGGCTGTGGAGAACACATTTGCGGATGGCACTGTGGCCCCTGAGATTCTGATTTGCTCTGGCCACGATGGAGGCTCGAACCCAGGCGAGAGGCATGACGTGGGATGGTTCCCGCTCCGAGTTGCTGGCTGGGTCCTTGTCAGCGGCAGTGATGATTCCACTTTGGATAAATTGTAGAAGATGGGTTTGCAGGTCGATAAGTTCGTTGGTTCTTGTATCAGCACTGCCGCCGAAACCGGTGTTGACGCCATAGATGACACATTTCTGAGAGATGACATCCGCTAAGGTGTCTACGGAGATCTCGAGCCGCTTGGAAAGCAGCTCGTCCGTGCTGATAGTGGGCTCGACTCCATGACGGGCGACGGCCACGATGGAAGCAATGTCGAGGTTGTTGCCGTTGAGCTGAAGTGTTCGTTCCCTGTTCCTCAAATCATGCACATTTGCCAAGAGTTGGAGTGTTGCGCTTATATGAGCCGATTGGCCGTGTCTAGTCAAGGTCATGATAAGGTAACTAGAACTGAAGGCAGCAAATTATATAATCCCTCAACTCCAGGCGTCGTGTTATTGTCTGCTCGATCATCAAGGATCCAAACGACTAGTAATACAAAGGTTTGATTGAGTAGTGCAGAAGGAAAGAGAAAAGGGAAATATATAAATACATAAGTATATAAATATAGGTAGTGTATTCGCTGTACTAGTCTCGGTTTATTTGAACTTTAAGCGGGTACTCAGCTGATCGGCACTGCAGGCGGCGAAGTGTGCCACCAGGGACTTTAGTCCTACTGGCTATTACTGTCGAAAACAGAGCACCTAGGTAAAATTCACCCCATTTCATAGCTGAGGAGTCGAGTGCCGGCGGGCCAAGACCCCGAGGGTGAACTCTAGTTCCAAGTTGCCTAGGTGGAGCTATAATCGCTTAGGAAGCTTCTAAGTTCTGCGGCCCTTGGGCGGCTACGTTAAGCCCTGAATGACTTGGGAATCGACCACTGGAAAAGCAGTAAATAAAGATTAGCCAATACAACCAAACCCCTGCGTGGCAGACCTCGTGGCCCGTATCGGCACTTAAAATTGGCTGATCTGGACATTCTAAGTCCTTAATTACTTAGCTAGAACATATACATTGAAAATTTTGAACCAGGGTAAACACTAATCTGCAGAGTGTGCAGGTAGACATCAATACAGATTAATTAAATTTCCGAATTTAGCTGAACGAGCATACCTTGTTGATCAAGACCCACTAACCAAGATCTATCAGATTGTGAGGGCCCACCGGGCCCCAATGAAGACTACAACGCTGCAAAGATGGTATAAAATCAGTGTCACACTCAATATCTAAATATGAACGAAATCAGAATGGTTGATTACTCTTTTGGGTCTTGATCAACAAATTCCGGGTCGTGCTCAGCGGGAGCCGATTTCAGATCAGCAGGCTTTCAGAAACTTGAAGATGAGACCGGGAACATTTGATGGCGCGATGCAAGGGGTAAAAAAGAAATATAGTTCCACTAGTATATACTAGTGAGTAACTAACGTGTTTCACATGGGAGCTGCGCACACAAGCGAGCTGCGCACTTCACCTAACCCATTGATTTTAATTGCAGTTATCTCAACCAGGCAATGGACAGATAGTACTTGAAATAATAATTTTGGCCAAGTCTCTATCATCACCGTCTTCCATTACAGCGCATCCCTCCATATGTACTCCCCCATATTCGTTACCGTCTGATCAAATCAAAACCTCTAGCATGAGGATGGAATATGGTGACGCTGCTTGGGAACGAAGCGATAACATATTCAACGACTTCAAGAAGAAGGTCATCAGCCATGATGTGCTTCTAGCAGTAACCAACTTCATGGCAGGTCACCGAGATTGGGTCCGACCGGTTGATTGTCCGAGTCGCAGACCTGGGAGCGTTCAACTTGTGTTTCAGCATGGTCTTTGAGGATGGATTCTCATCCTTCCTACGTTTTCCATGTCCGGGCAGACTGATATTTCCAGGCGAAAAGGTCCGAAATGAGGTTGCACTTATGCCATTTTTAAAGCAAAACCCGCATATCCCTTTTCCAAACATTATCCACCATGGCATGAGAGACGAGGGTCCCGCAGGACTAGGTCTGTTTATTCTCATGGAGTATGTTGCGCATGCATCCAATCTAGCTACTCAAATAAGAGCTCCTGGATATAAAAGGGGCGATCGCCCATTCCTGGATCCAAACATTGAAGACGAGAAGCTTGAGCTTTTCTATGGTCAGATGGCTGATATTTTGCTGGGGTTCTCCAAGCTGTCTCTTGACAAGATTGGCTCACTGGCCAGAGATGCGAAAATTGTTGCAGTCATTGACTGGGGATTTACATATACCGCCCCTGCAAAATTCGCATTTATCTCACCTTGGTGGCTACTATGGGAAATGCCCGAGAATGGGGGGAGGCTCAGACTGGACAAAAACCTACTAGCCATGCCTCGAGATATTTCTCCGGGTGCTCAAACACCATACTGGAGACAACAAATAGATACTCCGTTATGCATTTTCCTGTTATGGAGTTAGCTCAACCTGACTATTCCACCGCAATTGGGTACGGCCCACACCACCCATATTATACAGTATTCTGCCAGCCAAAACCCTTCATGAAATTCACTCTGCACTACTAATATTTGGTGTATCATCCGCCTCGATAATCGCCTGCAATATATGTGGCATTATCTCCAAAAAATGCTCTGTCATATAAAGTATAGGAAAATAGGGGGTTGTAAGAGGGAAGATAGTACTATTTCAACGCATTTATCAATATTAGCGTGTTTCTAAGAGACGAGTGATTTCAGTGGGCAGTAGGGGCGGTCAGCAAAAGTAGGACCATGGGCACGAAAACTTATCGTCTGTCACTGTACACCAGCTCTCACCTTGCGCCCTTCTGCGTGGCCTGTATTCCGAGAGGCGGTATATCTGCGCTAGTAGGTAGTAGCAACACTTCCAGACTTCCCCAACCCTCTTCCTCTCTGAAAGGGCCCTCTTCTCCTTTTGTTTGTCAATCATTTTGTAAAGTGTGTTCGGTGTTTTTCCTCTGCTGGATCACAGTTATTCCGGCCCGATATGGCCCCGCGTTTCTATAGAAATGAAATCGCTGGAGGTACAGCCCCCGGGCCTTGCCTGGGTTCAAAAGACCTTCAATCTTGAACCCCAGTGGACGGTGGAGCCCAATCCTCAGGTAATCGAGCAGACAATACAGTCGCTACTACCATCAAGCACGGTCCAGGTGACCTTCCTCGCCCAGGGCGCCTTGAACAAACTCTATGACGTGAAAATAGATAATGAGGTCTTTGTTATGCGAGTCTCGTTGCCTATTGATCCGTACTTTAAAACTATGAGTGAAGTGTCGACAGTGGACTGGATATCCCGTACCGCAAATATCCCTGTTCCTCGAGTCATCACTTATCAATCTTCCCGAGAAAATCCTATCGGATTTGAATGGATCATTATGACCAGAATGCCTGGAAGACCGTTGAAAGAGCTGTGGCGCTCTCTATCATTTTCTGCAAAAACAAGTTTGGTTGGAGAGTTTGCAGCCTACTCTAGTTGCCTTTTTCGGAACCAGTTCCAGGGAATTGGAAATATCTATAGGACAGCATCCATTCCCAAAGATTCTAAACTGTCTGAAGCGACCTGGCCTGCTGGAAACCTAGCATCTTCTAATAATTCACCTCTATCTGAAAAGGAAAATTTGCCTCCAGGATTACCAGATGTGGGCAGAATTGTTTCTATGCACTTTTTTTGGGGGTCGCATATCCTCCAGGGTGTCCATCGAGGGCCATTTACGTCTAGTAACGATTGGATTACATCACGCCTTTCTCTCAGCGAGAAAGACTGTCAGTCGACACTAGACGATTTACCATCTAGCGATCTTGAGAGCGATGATGAAGATGATGCAGATGATGCAATAAGAACATTGGAAATCATTGGAAAACTGAAAACCCTACTCCCATCTTTCTTTCCACCAAATGGAGATAATCCGGAGCCTTCACTCCTGGTTCATGACGACCTCTCTACCCGAAATATTCTCGTTTATGATAACGGAGAGCTAGCAGCTATTTTAGATTGGGAATGTGTTTCAGCACTTCCTTTATGGAATGCCTGCTATTACCCCGCATTCTTGAAAGGGCCACCGCGACGCCTCGAGCCTGATATACGACGATATGAACTCGAAGCGAGCGGAGAAGCCTCCGATCTCTACTGGGAACACCTATGGGAGTATGAGGTAAGTGAGGAACCGTGTATTTACCTGATGGGAAATTGTTGCATACTTTACATATGTACGCAAGTTTCAATTTTTGACACCTGTCACAACATTACTTCTATCTCGTGGGGCATGACGTCCGAACTAGAATATCGTGCGCGCTTCTTTTAAGTTAATATCGCATTTGTACTGCAACTGTAAAGTTTGCTTCGTTTCAAAGACAGAGAATTGGATCCTTCACTCCGCCCCCGGCCGAGATGGGAATTTTCCTGAATGGTCTTGACGTAGTCCGAAAGGTAGTAATCAACTATCTATACGTTTATCCAATTGACACTATTGGTATGTACAAGTATAGTCTAGCATCAATCAGATCTACCAAAGTATTGAAATTGGAGCCAAGTTGAAGAGTGTAAGTGCGTTTCTCGAACAGAGCAGGTATTTCTTTGTTTAGTAAATATAGTTCTTACTCCTATTTGGCTGCTTTGAGAAGTTTAATCCTCATAAATTCTATCGCGCAGGCTCCGATAGTTGTCCACCCCATCAGTGATGTCATTCATCCATGCACGTATATGCCGGGCAACAAACTCATTATCGCAATTTTGCACTGCAAGGTCGAAATCTCTTTGACTTTGGCTCTTGTGGAAAACCTCCACCCATTCCGGTTCCAGGTTTTTCATTCTATCAATAAACACATCGCGAAGGAGAGTTCTATTTCTTCATTCCTAATCTCTCTCTTCTCTCTCAGCCTCGACGCTTTCCCAATCCACTAGAAACACCCCAAAAGTAAGTTCCATGTATCCCTTCGATATCCGCCCTCTTCTGGCTAAGCCGTATGTATACTAAGCCTAGCTAGGGTTCCCGTCATCAAATCTTTATATTGGCCCGAAGCGCCAGCCGGATTTGCTCGGGGGTCCATGACCCATTGGTGGGAGACTAGCGTGTTTGCGACAGTTGTCCCTTTCTCTCGCTGCAATGTGGAAATGGTAGTTTGGTTGTTGATTTGAACATGCAGGTTGTAGTATTGAGGATCACCGGTGGTGAGCTAGAGGCAGAAAAAAATTAGCTGGTCTAAGCTCAGACAAGGGAAAAATAAGCGCATCAAACTGGGCTTCACTAGGGTAGGAGAGAAAGAGTCGTATTCGATGGTCATACCCCTTGGTTGTCCAATTCGGAAATCAGTATCGCTATACAATGTATGCTCGCCACTAGTAAATCCGGATAGTTTACCATCCGGTATACTGACAATGAAAGCCTTGAGGGCTTTGCTGGCCTTCCCCATAGTTCTGAAAGGTTTCGAGGAGGTTGTATATGCCTGTAAGAAGAAAGAAAAGTGATAGTAATTTACAAACACAGATGCGATATATCGGGCACTCTTATGATACTATGTGGAGCCATAACGTCGCTACCCCTCACATTCCGTTTCGACAACAATTGAGATTTCGTATCATGATATCCCTGCTTTTCCTGAGGCACTGTTAGCGCGCGACAAGAGCTGTTCATTCCTTGTCCGGTCGTTATATCTGGGAATTGGAACAAACATGCCGAAGAGCTTAGCAGAATACCCACCCACCTATTAAATTTGAAGCTATAATATTTGTCCTAATACGTTGAACATCAAAACGTGCTATATATACTTCAGCCTCGCTCTTGAATTGGTGACCCTCCTTCCGCAGGAAATCAGGCGAATGGCGATTTGGACTATATATTATACTGACCAGGGGCAATCAATGAGACCATATACGGTGAAACTTGTGCGGGGTTAGAGCATCTCGTCTATTTTAAGAGGCTCCAAATCTATTTCTTGATTCTCTTAATTTAGACTCAACATAACTATGACCTCCTGTTTTGATCTTCTATCGGGGCCCCATTGTGCAGATCGACCACCTATCATTGTTCAATAACCAATTGTGAGGACTTTGTAACCGCTTGCGTTCGGCGCGAAGAGATTTTTGACTTCGATAAATAGAATTACTGGCCTATCTAAATATTGGTCGCTACCTCCTACTGTCGCACAAATGGGCCTTTAGTTACGGACACCTATTAATCTAATAAACTACTATGGTGCGGCTTGTGTCCGGTTAATATTTGAGTTAGTGCTGCCTGGGTAAGAAGGGTGAGCGCGCAATAGACAGGGTGAGAATCTAGGTGAGAACGGGTGAAAATCTGCAGGCCGGCGCGAAGCCCGCACATGCCGCTCTGCAAGCCTCCTATAAATGATATGATCATTAGGTATGATCACCGGCTTTGAAACATCAAAATCTTGGCATCTGCATATAGCCACACCAGAGGTTTGTTGATTAGTTATTTCTTGGCGTAAGTCCTTGAAAGAATGACTGTTGAATGCATTTAATTTCCCTTTCTTTCTTTCCCCCTTATTTTGAGCCCCTTCTGCCTCATCAGCTAAGCCTACCGTGCGGTATGCCTTTGGTTACTCTAATCATACATTTACCCCTTTTAGGGCTTCAATCTGGCTAATGAAAACCTATGCAGAATATGTATGCAAATTGAGTCCTGAAAAGTATGTACATGTTTTCCATGCTTTGCATTATTGGGGTCCGGCCCTAAGGGTTGACGAGAAGGCTGGAATCATTGGGCCATATTTGTCATTAGAAAGGTACTAATGTATTTCACATGCGAGCTGCACACACAAGTGAGCTGGGCAGCTGGAACACTAGTAAATGCGATATATGCTACACTCACATTTCAACAACCGACAACTTTTTATTATTTGTTTGAAATACCGATAGCCATTGATAATCATTGCTAGTAGTATACATAAATTTTGAGTAGATCGAAAGCATATATTGTGATGGTATCGAAAATTATATCTTTAAAGCCTGTGAACATATATATATCGCAATCATCAAGTTATTAAAATCCCTAAAATGACAAAATACTGCATAAAAGGCATTAGGCTACAAGGAAAAGCGTGTATATATATTGAAGAGGGAACATTCAAGGCAGTATGCTCTGAGGCATACTGGTCGATTCAGCACTCGTAGTTCGGCTTTATACTCAACTTTGCATGTAAAGGAACCTAGGTGCACTGCCTAAGAAGTGGATCCAGAGAGGTGTAGGAGTGTGTATTCTCAATCTGTGTCTATCTAGTTAATACTTGTAACGTCATAATCTAATGCTTACATAACAAATCCATGGAAATCCAAAAAAAGAGTAGAGCGCAATGCGTAGTGGAGAGCCTGTCTCCCCACTGCAATATATATATATATATATATTGTTGGGATATTCAGTTGTAATCTATCGGACTGCGCAGCTCGCATGTGAAATACGTTAGTTAAAATCTTAGTAGAAATTCATACATCTCGTCGAGATCTTTCCCAAGACAGAAACCAATCAGTTCACCATATTTGGCGCTGTTAGAGTTTTGAACTCTTGATGCCACTGCGAGGAGCAATATAAGAATGAGCACTGATGATAGATGATAGCATGTTCCTCCTACAGCTCACGTGCCCGTGGTCTGTCGTTTTCGCTCCATGTTTACTTTTGCAGCCCTATTCGTCACTGCCTACTATGTGAGTAGTCCTTCCTCCACCTAAAATTTATTGTCACAGGCTTCTGAACATCACTCCAAAGACTCAGTACTAACATATCACAATCTTTTGGAAGTTGCTAATCTATTCCCAGGCAATCCGTGACGCGAGCACCTTTTGAGTCTGGACTCATCTATCTCCCTACTGCTATTCTTTGCCCAACCACTCTACCTTCACATTCTTCCTTAATGATACGAAGTAAAATAAAAAACAAAAACATACAACAGCATGTCTAAGGTCGTGGTCACCTAGCGCCCACGGTTCGGGCATGGGCGGCTCGCCGCTCTATTTAGCCCTCCTCAGGGCACTCCGGGCAGATATTCACCCACCTGAATATTCTTCACCCGAATATTCAGCCCGTGCAGCAAAAGGTACATTTTCCTATTCTGATCGAAAAAGTTGCAAGTGACCTTCTTCTTTCCTCCGCTTTCATCTCTCCAGCCTCGCTATATCACTCTAACCTCGCTTTGTCGCGAGCAAGATGCGTACTAAGCATAACCTAACGTTATAATATATAGCCAATGTTGTGGATTTCGGGGAGCATAGTAACAATGAATTCTAGCATGCAGTGCTGCCACGAACAGAATCTAGTTATAGGGGCAAGTTACTAATTTTCGATAAGTGAGTCTTAGCCCTAGGAGTAGAGAAGCAAATCGCTTAATTGTGCCTATGTCCTGTGAGTCGGCAAGTCTTCATCAAAAAGGGTCCATTCATCGAAGACACTGAGCTAGAGAGAAGAAGAGAAAAGAGAACAGGAGAGACGCTAGGAAGCTAGTCTATCTACCTCCTTCGTCTAATTATCTGAATTTTTGTACTGGTCATCAATCAGACGCACGCAATCAACAAGAAGAGACATGCTCAGATCGCACTTTGGTGATATGATGCAGAAAGCCTACCAATTGATGTACATATTATCTCCAGCGTACGGCGACAGGGCCAGATATGGTTGGGAGAAATACCAACATAACGAGCCTCTCGGTAAAAAGCGATCACATTGCTTAGCACGCGTCAATATAGAGACGGCTTACTGACAAACTGGGTTTACGGGTGTAGTATTTTATCATAAAAAGTCAGCAATTTATCCAGCTTAATTAGTAGAATAATGCTTACATAGAAAATTTTTCTACTCCCATGGAAGTCCCATGGGAAATGTCAAGGTCTACGTAGGACGTAGTTAGACTGCGACAATGCCCGTCCACGGTGGGCCTCGGGCATTTTAGAAAACGGAAGGCCCGCCCATTAACGCCCATATGCCCGTCGTTGGCGTTACTTGGCAGGAAAATGTAGCAAACACGTGATTTATACTGATAAGGCAGCGCTTATACTTCCATTTTAGGTGAATTTATGTAAAAATGGGCGGTTTGGCATTGCCCACAATGGGCCTTTCCCCCTAAGTTAAGGCCAGTCCATGGGCCTTGAGGTAAGGCCTATTTCCCGCTTTACATAATGTCCATGGGCGATGTCGCAGTCTAGACGTAGTAGCCAACCCCTTCCGTCTACGTGGCCGCTAATCGGGTGGCCGCTAATAGTAAAGATACGTGTGTGTAAGATACGAATACGAGGTATTCTATTTAGTACGGGCTACCATAGTTAAGAGTCGATACCAGCGTTACGGTACGGACTCCCGTCGGTCACACCCCACTAAAAGCTTTCACCGAATTTTGATCATCGACTACACCACTATTAGAAGTCCGATCAGGCTCAAACTTTCATAGGTCTTAGAGTAACTAGTTAAATAGAAATTATCACATTTATAGACCGATCGGACCTAAACTGAGGGCCATGTGACGGTACACGCACGTACGGTTATATAGCCACGGACGTAGAGCCAATCAGCGGGCGAAGAACCCCAGTCAGCCCCTGACTGGGCGGCGCATAGTGTCTAAGAGATATGCGCACACTCTAAGCCAGGTTCGAACCCTCCTCCCTTACCCCTCTAACAGTGAGTTCCACGGTTAGACAGGCAAACATCGGTACACTTATGGTGCACATGAACATCACTCGTCTTTCCTGAGATCGCATTTTGGGTGCATGTTTTCAGGACTATACAAGGTTAGTATGATTGAAGTCTAAGATGGAAAAGGGAGCCACATTGACTCACTTTTGTCTGCGTAGGGTGCGAGGTCCTTTTTCTTGAGGCCCGTGATCGCATTGTGCCAAGAGACACAGCAAAACGTGTTCTTCCCGGAGTCGCCTTGGTAGCAAATCTGTCGTGGCGATTTGGGAATGCTAACATCAGAGTCGTCATAGAGCTCAGATACGAGAGCCTCGCAGTTCACACTTTGGCTCTTTGCTGCTATATCCGCAGCTCCGCTGCTGGAGGGTGTTGCCCTCCTCCTGAGACTCCGGTGTCTCAGTACCGTTCCGAGGACCGAAGTAGATGAGATGACCACCGGTCTTTCCAATCTCCCGGGAGTGCTCTACCCAATCGGTGACTGCGTCCTGCTCCTGAATTGGAGTGGCCATTAAGCCAGTGGCCAAGGCAGAAACAAGCATCAGGGTCATGGTGTTGAAATGCATGTTGGATTCGGAAGATTGTTGTGCTTGAGCTTATTGAAAGATTGAGTATTCAATGGTGGTAGAGGTTGAAATGATGATCTGAGATGAAGCAATATCTCGAACCTCTTGGGCGACTTTATAGCCACCACCCCCTCCAGTAACAATATCTCGAATCCTATCAAACAAGTCCATCATTCTATCTCTTTCTGGCCCCCCGCCCCAACTTGGCTCCTCTAGTCCATCAAATATTGCGCTCGACTCCCACGAATGAAATACAGAAAACAGAAAAAAAGAACAAGAGAAAAAAAAAAGAAACAAGGCAAAACAAGACGTGTTTCTATTTTTGGTTCTGAAATAGGATCTGAATCCTAGAATCTGGGGCGAAAATTCCAGGGGTTCCTAATGCTAGATTACCACTTACACTCATCTGTAGTGCGTAACAGCTTTGGCAAGGGTTGGTCTACTGGGGCTGAATAGAAGTATGATGTCAGGGGCCGCAGTTCTACGGTAAGTCGTGCTAAGCATCTTGTTTGACGTTCCTGGCTCCTGAGGTCCACCCAGTGCCGAACCCTGGGGCTGCCCCCACGTGCTTTACCTAGTTCATCTGGCAGATTGAAAATTACAAATATCGAAATCCTCCTAAGGGCCCGCGCCACGCCCCCACGCCGCGCAATGTATAGCTTCCCTATCAGAGAAATTTCCAATCATACCGTACGTGCATTGAGTACTTGCCACCAATCGGAAAGATTAATCAGTTGGTTTCACAAGATATCAAATGAGAATATGGCATGTTACTTATCTTCTTATTCATGCAGCTTATGGGCAGTCTTCCTCCGAGGATCCTTGTTGGTTTGTCTCTGCGCGACTTGTAAAGGCCTGGGCATACATGAAACTACACTACGCTTTCGGATCCTGCAGTGATTTCATTTACCGTGGTCTATATATTCGCGAAATGACTGGCGATGCCAATCCTTTGGACTAGCATGTATATTGAAACTTAATGGCCCCATTAGCGAGTATACACGTGGGACCCCTGATTTAGTTCCTATACTTCCAAACATAGCTTTCCGTGTATCTGAAATCTTCATATTCGAAAGAAGTATACCCATAGGAGGAAATCTAGGCCCAGTGAAACCTTCTGGTGGCGCGAATTGGATGAGTCAACTGGCGAGCGAGAACATGTATATGATTTATTCAATGGTAAATTTACAGCTAGATGAATGGCTTACTGTGAAAGGCTAGTCATTTACCGAAATAAGACCTGATGCTTTGCTACCTCAAGTTTCTCAATAAGTAACACTTATTTGAAACCCTTCAGATAAGCTTGGGGATAACTATTAAGAATGAATGTGACAAATATATGCTTATTTCCTCAAACTTCAACGGGAATGAGCTCAATTTGACATTCTTTGCATTGAAAAGACAAGCACTCTATTAAAATTCCTGATCACTCCCCTCTCCGCGAACATAAGAGAGTGCTTTGAACACATCAAAAACGCCAGCGCCGTTGGTAAATTTCTCCGGACGTCCGAAATAGGTCTCCATGGCCGTATCGATCGGGGACCCCGTAATACAAATGATGAACTGATCGGCCGCACGATGCTCGATTCTAAAGTTGTACCAGGTGTCGTCCTTTGGAGGAAGACGTCCCCATCCTTCAAATTCCAAATCTTCTGGGTCATCAACCACTGGACAGTAGTAGCTCATAAGCAGAGTACCATCTCGGGCGCTACGCTCATCTGCAATGGCGATGACGCACGGTTCGATGAAGTTGAATTGCTCCCAGTTTGATTTTGCCCAGTCTTGGCATTCCTCGATAGAGGCACCGATGAATTCCGATTGGAATGTCTCGCAGTCCTGGAGCTTACTCTTAAATCCCTCTCCGCTATTCGGGCAGACTTTTGATTCAACGAGATAGTATAAGGGCGGGAATGTCGGATCTGTAGAGTATTCACGCGTAGCCCGAGGTATAAACTGATAAGGAAAGTCAACATGGTTTTGCAAACAATGTTTGGGTGCAATTTTGTCAAGTGCTTCGATGATACCCTTGGTCAATCTCAAATGGACTTACAGGTTTGGCCTCCTCCGCGACACAGAAAAGTAAGTTGGCTGGCATGATGATGATGATAATAATGATGAAAGATTATGTTTCCAGGTAGGACTCTAGGGTTTTCGTTCAAGGTTTATATTTCGGGTCCCTAGGAGAAACTTGTGAAGCTCCAAGTTTAACTGGGGCGGTCACATATAACATCATCTCAATTTGAGATATCGGGATCTACGGGCCGCCCCCACCTTAACCGTAGACGTACATTGCAGATCGCTACATCAGTTGCCACCAACACGACTAGGAACGTCTCAAAATAGCCCAAATTGGCCCCGTGGCTAAAACAAGGACATTTAGAGTCAGCCTCGGGTTAAGATCCTTTTAGAAAACGCCAAATCCTTTATGAGTTTCGCAATAGCTCATAGACGCTTCCAATGATAGACGACCAAGTTTCCTTCTTTTGACTCTATTCCAATTTTCGGGGCGGGTCAACTGATTGTCGATTATCTGCATCCCGTGATATTTTCGGCCCCTAGAATTCCCCATCCTGTTCCGAAGAGTCCCTCCGTAGGATCGCGAAGCTTATAGTCTCCTACCGAGCAGCGAAAGTCCGAAAAAAAAACACGTATTACTTTTATATAAGCTTACGATTACTAGCCCTAAAGGATCTAGATAATGACATATGTTCTTGGGAGCACCGAGGGTCGGTCAGATTACTTCCGCTCTTACGCGATATAGCCCTAAAGAGATAAAAATAGAACAAATGACTAGGAAAGAGCGCGGTTATTTAAAGGATGCTTGGGAAGGCTCCAGGATAGATCATAAGAAAGCAATATTATATACATCTACATTTGAGTCCATCTGAACAATCAAGCACAAGTTACCATATTGTCGAAAAGTCTCACTAATGGACTCTGTCTAATGTCCTTATTTTTCTCTGTCGCTCTTACGGTGCCAGTTAATAAGCCAATAGAACACTCACGCTTGTCTGCACGGGTAGGTACAAATGATGGCTCATCGAGACAGAACGCAAAAGAGGCAACGTTTGATGTCACTGGCTGGGAAGACATCGCCGAGGAGAATTGCTATGACATGCTCTGCCTGCGAGGTAGAGAGAGATCTTGGTGGGTCACCAGTTAAAATACCAAGCAGAGGTCATAATTTTAACTGTGAGACTGTCAGGCAACGTAACCCCACAACCAATTTGAGGGGGACCCATTACAGACAGTCGGGGGCAAAATATAAGCCATTCTAGAAGCAAAACACTCATGACCGCCATACCGAGCAAATCAATCCTGGACCTGGGAAAATGGAGACAAACAGTGCAGAAGAATTTCCCTAGGAGAGCATGGCTTAGGGTGAGGACGGCGCATACTTATTTCCGGCCTCCAGACCTGCACAGCAAGGTAAGTCATATCATTTCTTGTTTGAATGGGACCCCGTATCTAATGTATACAATAGCTCAAAGCTCTTCTATCTCGAAAGGTTTCCGTGGAAGCGATATCAACCTATCGCATTGGTTTAGGATTACTTTCACGGGAAATTTGGGCCGATTCTGCAGAGCACGGTAACCAAAACCCCCCCGACACTAGTATATGCCATAATCCCGAATCGAAACTTTTCGGCAAGAGCATTAACCTCAACGACTTTGTCTGGTACGTGGTTAGGACTGGGGGTTCCCTTGCTTATCTTCATGCGGCTGGTTCTTCAAAAGGCAAGACGTCAAAGCGGATGACTCCGATAGAGGTCCGCGTACTTCAAGCAGAAAGACACAAATTTATCGAAGCACGCGCCGAGGATTTCGAAGATGGCCTGTTTTCTCCCCTCGAAACCCGCGCTCTAGATAAATGCCTCGATTCGCGCGGACGGGTAGACTTCGAGGAAGTCTAATTTATCGATATGGTTGATTCTAGCCCGCATTTTTAACTCGATAAGCCGACTATACGCGCGCTTTAATACCGCGAAACAGCTAATATCGAGAGGCTATAAAAGGTGAGACGAGTGCGGAGGCATACAAATTGCGATAATATTGTTCTCTTCGCAAATTTAATAGAACTCCGCCGTTAAATGACTTCCGTGGCCGTCGAGTATCAAAAGTCTATACTTCCCCTTCGTACGCGAAGTAGACGGAATAAAGAGCTTTTTAAGCCACCGAAGACCAATTTCATCGGAAGTCCATCTATTCGGACTAACCTCGAAGCGCCAATCCTCCGGGAGGCCGTCGAACCAAGATTCGATATAGACTTTGCCCTTAAAGATCACGCACGGAGGAAGCGCCTACCCCGAAGCATTTATACACTCAATTGTAGTTACCTACGTACGATTTCTAGGTTGTAAAAGTGGTCGTCGACCGTAGTATTCAGCCCTTATTACGACTTTTGCGGTCGCGATTAAGCCCATTGTAAACCCGGTCTCGTCGAAGTTATAGACATCGTCGGGATCGATGCCGTATTGAAGTATCGTTTTTTAGACTAGATCAAACTATTCATGAATGATTTTTAGGTCTTCACACTTCGCGCGCTCGTAATTATACCGTCTCGAGAATCGGGATAAAAGGTTTAGATGCCTTTGGACAAAGTTATAAACCCATTTTTCGCCGACTAAAAGGACCGGGGTGGTTTTCCGGGCTACGAGAAGGAGGTTCGCAGTTTCTCGTACGGTAGAAGGCCGGGGGGCTGCTCCACAATTATCTAAAGAGAGAATCCAATTTTCAACCGATTTCTCCTCGATTTCGGTCAATTTATGTGAATTTGCGCGTAGAGAAGCCCGTTCCGTACGGCCGGAGAGGCGGTCGCGTAAAGTTGAACGCGGTACATCAAAAGTGCGAGCAGCGAGAGCAGTAGTGCTTATTTCTTGATTCTTAATAGCTTAGATAGCTAATAAGATCCTACCCTCTTGCTCCGTACGATTTCGGGAGGATTGAGTACGGATTGGTGGCATAGTAGGTGGTTAAAGAAGGAGGGTCTAATTAATTGACGCGTTTTTGGGTAGGGTGGCGGCTCGCTTACAATGGCGACTCGCTTACCGAATACGTTATTATTTCTAGAGCTTATTAGTATAGGAAGATCGGAGGCAGACTAGCATTATTTTAAAAAAATGCCTAGTGGAAGCTTAGAAGGCATTACATTAGTCAAAGATAGATACGCTAATATTGAGCATAGGAAGACGTTTGAAGGCAGTGCGGAAGGCTAAGGGGTATTACACAAAATATTAAGCGAATTTTCGAAAGTGCTATTATTCAGCAACCCTGAAATTTAATTATATTATTATAGACCATAAAATGGTGGTGCTATATACGGTGTAACTGATATATATATTTTGAGAGGGGACCCGAAAAAGTGGAGTGGGAAGATACTTTTGAACGGGTATGTATTTCTAGAGGGGGGATCTGCTGCGTTGCAACTTCAAATTGACTATTTCTTCTGCACTTGATGGGCTGGATCCCCTACATAGACACAGAAAAAGTCAGCATGGGAGGGGAAGGACACGTCAGCGGTTCAGGGGCGTGCAGGATATTCAGGTGTAGAATAGTGGTGTTCAGGGCATTCAGGTGAATGGGGTGAAGGGGCTGAAGAGTAGGGCGGCAAGAAGGACTTTCCGAACGAATCAAAAAAAAGGGTGAATGCGGACATACAACAGTGAGGATTCGCTGGTGGTCACCCACCCAACTACTAACTCACCGGCGTGTGGCTTAAGTACGGCTGAGCGGACGGGAAGCCCTGTTTTCCACACCCTATGGTCGTATGTACCATGTTACACGGGTAAGACGCTTACAGGATACAATCCATTAGGTTGTGGAAAGGAGAGTGTCGTGCGACTAAGGTTAAGAAGGGTGAGTGCGCTATAGACAGGGTGAGGAGCTGGGTGAAAATCGCCCCAGTCGTGTGACCACTGTATTGACCCGGTTATCTTATGGTCTACCTTATGTTCTAGGATTTGGCCTTGATTATGTCTATATAGCCTCGGAGTTCATGCCTTGTGATAGAAAACTGGCGGTATGACAATACATGACAATCTATGGTATGGAAAAAAAGATATTGAAGACTCCAAAATGACAAAATCCACTATTTTCCCTATACGGATGGGCCTTCTATATTTATGACGCCCTCTAGACGGTCTATGGTTATTCCCCGGGGGGGGGGGGGGGGAGGGTGGGTTCAGTATTATATTCTGGGCTTCTCTAGAACCTAACTCAACCCAACTTTGGGTTTGGTTTTGGGCCAAACTTTGGACCTAAGCTGAGCTTTGGGTTATACTGACCTAATAAAACCCACGGGTACCGAATTGGGTAACAAACATAACGGTAATATCACAATCGCCACCAGACGCAATCAAAGAAGAAACTAAGACCGGGAAAATCATCCAAGAATGTAGCAGGGATTGTCGAGAAAGACTCCCAATTCTAGTCCTATTGACTTTGATGGGGATAGTTTTGCAATAGATCTAGCGATCGAAACAGAAGATAACGTAGCCCACATCGCCTAGACAGCGAGGGAATTCTATCACCAGGCTACCTTTTTAGGTACTTAGTTTCAGCCTTATTATAGAGGAACTTGGTATGTTATGCCTATTTTGGAATGAGACTTCGATTTATGAGACATGAATAATAATAAGAAAAAAATGTAAAAATTCTTTTCTAAATATAGCTTTAGCAATTATTTACATGATAACTACTACCTCTCCTATGCATCTGCATCGAAATTTGTTCCACTAATACGCTCCCCTTTATCCAATCCTCACCCACGGTGTCCAAACTGCTCTTAGTCAACCGTCTGCTCTCCTCTGCCTTTCTTCTGAACAAATTTGTGACCGACCTATCACAGTGACACTCTAGACTCGTATATCCCCGCTTCCTCGCTCCCCTAGAGAGCCAAGAGCCATCACTAATATACATCGGCCGACTAACATTCTCGCAGCTAACGTTCCAACCTACCACTCCAGTAGCTTCTATTGTGATCAGCTGTCTTCCTTCTACCAAACATGCCTCATATGAGAAACTCATACCACCCCTCTAAATTTTAAGCGCGTTGAAAATCGATTCAATAGGATAAATGCCAATTTATAGTCATTACAACACCTTTTTCCCTTCACACCATATACTAGAACGGTGCATTAGCGTGGCACTAGTTCCATAGTAGCACTATTTGCTTGCATAAGACAGTCGGTTGTTTGAATCCGCCTTCTCACCTATAAAAATCCCTGGCCGGTTCACGACACGAGTTTGGCAAAGTGGGTACTATACGAGCTTGAACTAGGCCAGCCAGGATGACCGCATGGCTGACATGGGATTTTTGGTATGGACCAGTAGACCAAGGACTTGTTGGCCCAGGAAGGAAGGATCTACACTTTTGTTTGTATGCTCGACTACAAAGGCACCATGTGACATCATCCTCCATCGTGTTCATGCGGGGTAGGCATAGATGACTTGGACAGTACCGCGACCCGAGTCGGGAGCGGAGAAACCGGTTGATCTTCGATACCCGACGAATTTCTTGATCCCGGGGAGGTTCTCCGCACAGCTGAAATTATTGTTTGGTCCACACGGAGAATCATCAGCAAAACCTGTAGCCAGTGTTGAGAAACCGGCGGGATTATGGGGTAGATGTAACGCTACCCGGTGCGATGTCTTTGATGCGGAGTACATGCAGTGGCGATGATGCGCATGTCTTACCTGCCACTCGTATTGATTGGCCGTGGGGTGGACTCCCGGGTAGTGGCCTGACAATCCCAAGACATGGAATAAGAGCCATGTCTTAGATCCAAGGCCTCCCAGATATGCTCTACCGGTACATCATCGATACTGCCTGTGGTCCGAGTAGCAGACCTATATGAAGACCCCCAATTCCTTCCATTCTCAGGAGGAAAACAGATAATCCAAGCTTCTATTGCAAAACGAAAAGCGAAATACCAACTATGAAGACCTCCGTAGTATTTGGTGCCCTCATCAGCCTGGTCTCGGCCCAGAATGCTGTCGTGCATAATCATTGTGCCACCTCCGTGTATGTGCAGTCGTTCCCTTATGATGGTAGCGCCCCCGGCCCTCTCACCACCGTTGCGAATGGGGAAACTTTCTCCGAAGAATTCAGAGAATCTGGTTCGGTACGCTGCTCCGTCCTATTCGGTCTACATAATACTCCACACAGCAAGGGAAACTGACTGAAGATCGAATATATAGACTGTCAAGATCGCCAAGACAAAGACCCTGAATACGCCTCTCTTCTTTGGCTATTCGTTCTCATCCAACCCGGACTATGTGTACTGTGAGTGCACCCAATCTGTCTGTCGGTTAGGAATATTTTACTAACCGCATTCTTCTCCAAGATGAGCTGAACACGGAATGGGGCAACCCCTTCGCAGCGGATCCCAACTCGCTCAGTCCCGGGGATGGCTGTGAGGCCTTTGACTGTGCGGCCAATGATGCCGCCTGCTATAGTACACCGGGATCCAAGAAGGTCTATGGGTGCCCCCAGCCAGTCACCTTGACGGCGGACCTCTGTCAGTAACTATGCCGCCTACATTCTGTAACGTGGTAGGGTTATGGGGATATCTTGTTGTTTTCTTGTCCTTATTTCAACCATTTTAACCTATCGCAAGCCCATTTTGAGGATGACTATTTCTGAGAATGAGACATACAACTGTCTTGACACTACTAAATATAATCACAATAAAAAGGATACGACACAACAACGTTACTAAACATATATAGTTAGCGCTTCCTAGAGATTCCATTTGGAGAATATGGATTTAATACTCCTCTTCCAAGCACTTTCCGAGCACTGCAGATAGTTCCATCACAACAACTAGGAGGTACGTTATGTGGGGAAATAGCAGCCTGGGGGCCTTGGGGGTATGATTGAGCCTATAATTATCAACTTATTTTCATTTGGATCTGGTCTTCTCAAATATTTCACCCATACATCAAACCACGTTCGTCTTTGGGGTAGCAAATATTGTAGATTTGATTTGGTTTCTATCCCCTAGGGGAAAAAGTACACCAAACCAGGCGATCGAGAATGGCAAAAAAGGTACGGTATGGCTCCCTATCCATCAGAATATAATCCACATTTCGATCCTGCAGGAAATTCCAACCGTCTTGGTGAAGTGTCCCTATAACTACCTCCGGTCGAGAGTTTATGAGGTCCCGGTGCGACGCTAGGATATTACCTAGGAATTGGGATGCTGAAAGGAATCCAATGCTGATTGTCTTTCCGTGAGGAAGGTTATCGATGATCGTAGTAGCAGTGGCCTATGCGATATGCATGAACTCTAACCCGAGTTGTTTTTGAGGAACGGCAATATAAATGATATACTAAAGGTCTGGTTCTGGCGATGTGTAGATGTCATCTAAGAACGGCAGAACCCTCGGAGGGTGATTGTAAATTGAAATCCCCATGATATAGTGACTCCGCTTTTCTCTATCGCGACTCAACGACCTCCAGCGCTAGAGGCTGATCGGTTAAAGATACATATCCCTCGTCTTAATCCAGACCATAATTGAACTCAAAATTCCCAATGTCGGAGTGGCTTAGCCTAGCTAACGACGATATTGTCTGCAAGTTGTGAAACATGCGTCGACATTTACGCACCATAAGTTCTTCCCTTTCTGAGTAGATATTGTATCCATCAGGGATTGTTGAAGGATCAATGCTAAATGGAGAGAACCACTCGATCCGGGAACAGAGATCAACTTCGATCTAAGCGGAAAACTCCGATTGATATTTAGGGGATGGTGGGAATCAATTAAAATTAGTGAGTTGGGCCATCTATTGGGCTGGGTATCCTGCAACTTGCAGCTATGCTTTCGAGGCGGAACAAGCAATCTATGTCTATTGGAAAATTATTGTTTCTATAGTTTATTAAAGTGAGGGGCGCGCTAGGACACATGGCTTGGTATGTTGTTGTTCAATGTATCTTCACGCGAGTAATCTCCCAACCTTGGTGGGAGGGATCAACGAGAGCGCGACTGGTCCAGGTACATTGTTTTGATTCCAGTAGGCAATCCCATGGCGAAGCCAACTCGCATAGGTGCCAGGTATGACATCGGAGTCCGGGTTGTCCCGCCAGAGTGAGCCCAGAGTGACCTTGTTAACCCGCAGGATGAGCCCGTGAGCGAGCTTGAAGCCAAAGCTGCGTGACAGACAGGCCTCAACAATCTCACGACCCTTTTTTTGTTTCTCAGACTCTTCCTCCCCATCTTTCGGCAAGGGAAGTGATAACAAATCGAATGCCTCCTGTCCATTCCAGGCAGTTAACTCATTAATGAGTTGAGACCCTTCCATGAACTCAATTGCATAGAAATGCTCCATGCAATAGGCCGGACCGTCCCAATTATCTTCGGTATCGACCAACCCCATAACTGCAGTAGCTACCTGGCCTTGAATGATATAGTCGGTTAAAAGGCGGCTGACCTCAGCAGGGCCGATGAAAGTCCCATCATCTTCGGTAATTGTAAACTCACCACCCATCAAAGGAACGCCTTGGAGGAGTGGGCTAGCATGCATGCCATCGGTGGTTGTTTTACCACCATCTGCGCCCCAAAGGGCGCAAAGTAGACGGTGGCAGCGAGTGAAGAGTGGGTTATTTGGCAATGCGGCGAGGAAATAATTACATAAACTGTAATGATCTTCACCACTTGGTGTATAAGACAGAACCTCGTATGGGGAGTTAGGGTTTGCAATTGTCTCAGTCCATAATGTATCCAGATCGCCAATCTGCATCATACCCACATCTGCATAGACACCCCCATATCGCAGAAGCAGCGGCCAACGAACAAGGTCTGAAGTGTGCTGTAGGGCGTAAGGGCCAGTGAGCGTCTCATCTATAAAAGCACGGGGAAAAAGTGCTGGATCGGTGACATCCAAGAACTCGGCGATATTGCTTTTTGATCCCGGTTGCCGGTCGATGATTCGCACTGTCCACCCTTGCCTGGCGAATCGCCGGTGCCATGCACGCACTGTGCGCTGTGTGTACGGGTGCATATTGGCGTAGCCTGAGTGCCAGAAGAACCACATATTTTTGACGCCCTTTACTGGCTGGGGATGTAGGAGGTCAAAGTCTATGTCGACATCTGGGCGTAGATCGAGAAGGCCGGAGGGGATGACGTGCATCCCGGTAGGTAGAAGATGTTTCATTGCCGAAGTTGAATTCAAGGTAGAGGTAATTGAGGTTATATTGGATTTAAATATGTCGCAAATGTTGATTGGCATAGCGCGATACTGTCTTTTATAGATACATGTATCCATGGATGAAAGTTTCTAGAGGGGCATATTGGCCAATCACACAGTGATCAGATGTGAGCAATAATGAGTCAACGAGACCCCTGGACCTCAAGACCAAATTGACATCCCTGGGTTCTCCTAGTTAGTTAATAAATAGCTATTATTAATTCACCATAGTTACTACCATTACATAACTACATATATATACCTTTGATCACAATCTCCCGGTTCCACATCCATCCCGGGTATCCTCTGAGGCGTACTTTTAAATTGGAAATAAGTTATAGTATGAGACATATTCCAAAAAAAGCAGGTTTTCCTAAAGAGGACCGGAAATAGCTCGCGACATACAGTTTGTATTTATAGGATGACCCGCTCGCTTGGGAATCATTGTCTGTGCACGAAGCCTGTGGTTAGTGGGCTATTGCAATTCGAAATCCAATTGGCAGGGTATTTGGAATACAATATATCTCAATTTCCAACAAATAATGTTAGCAATGTCATGTCTTTTGTCGTTTCGATATAAGCTAAGAAATTAATACTAGGATAACAAATGCGAACTGATCCCAATCAAGAGATAACACAACACCTAGCTTTGTGGAATGGATAGTGTGGCTCAACTTGCCATGACAATATTTACGTGTTGAATTCTCCGGAGTTAAGTTTGAATAACTACCAAAATATTTGATGGCAGGATGGCCTGAGCAGAATGGAGAGTAGCCGCTCCGCTATCTGACAGCAGCTAGCTAGGTATTCTCTAACCCTCCGCACTCTGGTGTTTGGCCGTTAACTAATTAACAAATGTAGGGTTTTATCAAACTTGTATATTGCTCGGTCTTGCTTATATTCCTATCTGCGCAGGGCGCTGTACCTGTACCTCTAGCCCTTCTTATCTTCGTCATGACTTTCATGATGCGGTCGCATCGGCGCAACAGGGTGCGACGAGGCGCCTAAGCACTTGTCTGCAGGCTCTGAGCAATTAGGCCGGTCAGGAGATTTACTGTCGTGCTCCTTTTTAGCAGGACAACGAATGGCACGTCGACCTCGAACGTGCGGAAGATAAAGGTTCGAAACTCGGCAGCCAGCATAGAATCCAAGCCGAATTCCCCAAGAGGTCGATCCGCTTCCAGTTCGCTCTCCGGCAGAAGGATGAGATTTGAGAGCTTCTTCGATACAACAGCCCGAAGTTCATCGAGAATAGATGCCGTATCTTGGTGGTCGCGCAGCGCTCTCGCAATCTCCCGAGGGAGATGCGCCTCTGCGCTGTGGGTCTCGCTCTCGCCCGCGGCTCGGCGGACAAAGGACGCAGTGAACAATGCAGCTCGAGGATCGGCAAAAACATGGTTGTCCCCCTCGAATCCTCGTTCCCGCTGCTCCTGGAGACCGATGAATTCCACCCCGGTGAGAAGGTGGCTGCCGGCCAGGTTATCGTACCGAGAGTCCCACGTGCATGGTATTTGGTTCACAAGGGCCATGTTCATGATCTGGATCAATTCCTCTTCGTTGATTGGGTGGATCCCTTTACGCTTCATGAGGGCCTCGATCTCGGGGTGCTCGTGCAAATATCCCACTTCCGAAATCATCCCATAGCCGATGGAGATGGCCGGCAGGCCGAGACGGTTGCGATAGCGGGCGAAAGCGTCCAAGAAGGAGTTGGCAGCACAGTAGTTGCTCTCGGTTGCTGTACCCACGGTACCGGAAATGGACGACGTCATGACGAAAAAGTCCAGCTGAGAGTCCCGACCCTGGCCCAACGCATTGTGAAGATTCCAAGTGCCCTGTACCTTAGGGCCGAGGGTAGTATGCCATGCGCTGTGCGACATATCACTCCAGAGAGCCTCGCTGAGTGCCATGGCTGCCTGCATTACGCCACCGATGGGACAATCTGCGGCGTCCAGGGCCCGCTCGACATCCTCATACCGGCAAACATCTCCTCGAATCACTGAGACATGGGCTCCTTCAGCCCGTAGATCATCGACTAGCTCCTTTGCCTCGGGTTTATCGGAACCAGATCGACCCAGAAAGACAAATCGTCGAGCACCGCAAGATATCATCCACTTGGACAGACTGCGACCTAGCCCACCCAGGCACCCGACCATGAGGTAGCACTTCTGGGCACTAAAGGCGGTTTCATATTTCGTCGGAATCACCCTTACCTTGATGTCCGGATCCTGGAATGACATAGTTACTTTGCCCAATCGCGTGCCCAGGGAGAAGTGCCTGAATGCATCGGTAATATCCGACGCGTCGAATGTCTTGATTGGGGAACACGGCTCGCAGATCTTGGATCGCACTAGATCCAGACTGTCTGTAAGCAGGGATTTCCAGAGTTTATGGTGGGCTTTCTTGTTAGAGTGATAAAGATTGGACAGGTCAAATGCCATGAAGGAGACATTGCGGCTGAACGTGGACATGTCCAGGACGCCATGATCAAGGATGTCACGTTTCCCAATCTCTATGAAGCGGCCAAAGTCGGCACATGCTTCAAAGCTGCTGTGTAGAAGATCGCCGGTGAGAGAATTCAAAACCACGTCAACCCCCTGACCAGAAGTGGCTTCCATAATGGCAGGCAGGAAGGATGAGTCCCGCGAGCTGAAAATGTGCGCTGGATCCAGACCATATTTCTCGACGAGGAATGACTTTTTAGATTCGTTCCCCACAGTGGCAAAAATCTATCGAGTACCTTAGTTAGTCGATCCAAAATTATTACTGCTAGATCTGCAGGTATGTTACCTTTGCCCCGAGATGCTTCGCGTATTGGATTGCCGCAATCCCAACCCCCCCCGGCAGCGGAATGAATGAGGACGGTCTAATCAATTTAGCCCAGCTCATGCGAGTGAGGTACCACGGCACCTACCTCTCCTGGCTGTAGATTTGCCCGATGCTTCAATCCATAAATAACTGTCGAAAAAACAATCGGAATAGTGGAGGTCGTCTGTACGCATGAGTTTCTGCCTTCGTGTAGACACTAGCTCGATCACTAACCGTAAAATCCTCCTCGTTGTTCATTTTACAGACTGCCCAATTTGGAAAGCGTTCGACAGTTGCAAAATAACCGGGGGCCATTGCAACTACACGATCGCCAGTCTTAAACTCGGAAACGTTTTCGCCCACAGCGGTAATAACACCAGCACATTCACACGAGCATGATGCATCCTTGGTGTCCACCTTGGCACTTATGGAATACAAATCCTATTTCTCGTTACCAACGCCGCTAATGGATCCTCGCAAGTATGAGACCTACCTTTGCGTTCATACCTACACTCTTCACGCTGATTTCCACATCATCTGGATGCAAGGCGGTTGGATACTCCTTCTGCACAAAATGGATCGTGTCCATTTGTCCCGGGTTCTTGATGCCCAATTCGCAACGTCCAGCAATCCCTAGAGGAATGTCAATGGTTTCCTTATTCTGCTTGAGACGGAAAGTTTCGTTGAGACGCTCGTCTGGTTCCCAGCGAGAGATATGAAGGACGCCGTCTCGTTGCGCGAATTCAAAGTCCGGCTCCTGTTGATGGATCAGTCGGTCCAAAACATTGACGATGTTATTCAGGGTGGCAGGATATGATGCTGATTTATCGTCCACATCTAGAACCGCAAATTGCAGGGAAGGCTGTTCGAGCATAAGCGCACGGGAGAGTCCCAAAATAGGCGCAAAGTCGGGGGTTTCTCCACCCACGAAGCCGGCATTGACGACCCATACAATCTTGGCCACACGATCGGTAATACTTTTCAGCTGTGTCATTTCACGCTCGTCAATCCTGCTTAGAAGAGGCTGCTGCTGTTCTAGGGTGGATATGACAAATGATCGGTCCGGAACGGTCGCGATGCTGACTTGGGACAAATCAACAATATTGACCACGGATCCTAAATGTTCTTGTAAGACCCGTTGGAGCTGTCGATCTAGGCTCGTTATGTTTTGATCTCGAGTCACCTGCATTCCTGTCAGACGTATACGTGATTGAAGGTCATCTAACGAACTCACCACGATTGTCGGGGGTTTATTAACCATGCTCTTGCTAGGCAGGCTGCTTATAGTCGCGACTGTCACGGGGAAAGAACCACTTCCTTTGATAACCTTCGTCCAAGTGACATCGTCACTGACTGCATCCCACATCATGATGACAGTTGCTCCCGGTGTCAGCCTACTGGAAAGGGCCGGCGTCCAGAGATCAACCTGTCAAATATCAGTGTCAAGTCAAGTCAGACTTACGAGATGTCAAACATACCGAGGGGACGAGAACTATATCAAACTTCCTTTCCTGTGGGATCCCCGTTGGGCGCTCTAGCTTCGGCTTATCTGAAGTCTCCGGGAAAACCTCCACACCGACTAGATCGCCGTCTGCAAAGACTCCACGAGAATAGGTGTTACACCTTCGGAAAGATGAGTCGACACATAGGAGCCCACAAACAGTTTGTGCTATCCGGGTTTGGTTGCCAAGCTCGAGGATATTGCTATTACACCACTGGTGACAGGCCAAATCCAGGGCACCAGCCATGCGCACCATGTGCTCATCAGCCAATTCCTTAGAGCCGTATTTCTGTAAGTACCAGCTCAGATACTCGTCAAGACCTGTGTTGGTTAGCGCAGAGAGATCTGGCTTCCATGTAGCTCTCACGAGAGGATTTCGTTGCTCGGTGGTTTCCGTCTGTCTGTTCCCTTGGTAGGCAATACAACGAGCTTGGCCCATCCTGATCAAGACCTGACCAGACGAATTAAATAGTTCTGCATTGATTTTAACCGTTCCAAACCCTACGCTCTCCGACTGGGAGTCAATGCACCAAGGTCTGTCGGTATCCATGTCGAGCGCCGATGGAGGGGCGATGTAAACCGAGTCCATCGCAACAGGGACGGTAGCCCGGAGTTTGTTAACCAAGCCACTAGTAGTCGCAATGAAGGCCGTTTGTAGCATCGCATCTATGGAGATCGGATGCGCAATGTACTGATCAAACTTTTCTCCCCGCTGGAGATGTGTAGTGGCTGCTGCTACGTGCGCCATGCGCGCGCGATCTCGGAAGACCTCCTCCATCACAGCAAATTTGGGACCCCAGTTGAGCCCTTCCTGAGTAAACTTGTTATACCAGACACGGACCGCATCCTGTTGTAATTTTGACCTGTCAAGTTTAATCTGTCGAGTTGTCTGTGGCGAGGTTTCAGCTAGGCGGACAGCCGCGTTCATATGCAAGGTCGCCTGGGAATCACTATCGGTCGAGACCACATCGAATCTCCACCATTTATCTGAATTCACAAGGTTGGAAATCTTCATCGAACGCATCTCGGTAAAGATCTCCACCGTTGGCTTTCGTTCAGGATCCATGTCGAGAGCTTTGATGAAGTTGAGATCGCGAAGTTCCACCCCCGGACAATCTTCTAGCTGCAGACCTGTAACCTGACACATCGCCTCGACTGCCATTGCGATATATGCCGCGGCAGGGAACACCACCGACGGACCTAGGCAATGATGTGTAAGCCATTCGACTTCATTGAGGCTCAATATATTTCGCCACGTCACTCCTGCGGTGCTCCCTCCCGACACTTGAGACCCGAGAAGATCGTGCCGGGGGTATTTGCGGTTACGGAGCTCGGTACTGGCGCGAGGCTCAGCCCACAGGGTGGGAGAACTATAGTCCCAGGGATAAGGAGGCAAATCAACCAAGACACGGGTCTGAGATCTATCTGCAAACATCTTGTGGTATTGGAGGTCATCGTGTCCATGCAAAAACAGTGAACCGACAAGCTGAAGGGTAGTCAACCAAGCATCTTGGTCACGGACGAGAGAGGAATTATAGATGTAGCGAGACTTTTCGAGGGTCGAGGCATTCTGCTTGATGGGAAGCTGTAAAGCTGAGTGCGGACCAAGTTCTACCAGATGGTAACTGCCACATGCCAGGATAGTTTTGATGGCCTCGTCAAATCTCACTGGAGATTCGAGGTTTGTACGCCAGTATGCGGGTGTACCAACTTGATTTGTACTTACCAGTCCACCAGTCACGGTGGAAATCATGACTACTGATGACGCTGGCGCATCCACAGCGCCATTTGCATCGTGTTTGCCATTAGCCGTATCCCAATAGCGGTCAAGTAAGGCCTCATATTTCGGCCCCAGAATCTTCATATGATGCGAGTGGTACGCTTTACCTCCGGTCTTTAGCTTTCGAGCCCAGATATCCCTTTCTTCAAATGTATTAAGAAGATCATTGACGGCAACTGTATCCCCACTCACAGTCGTGCTCTCTGGTGAGTTCGCACAAGCGACGCTAACAGACCCTCTCAACGCAGATTCCTCGATTATCACCTCGACCTGATCTTTCCCAAGTCCCACGGCAGCCATGCAACCCTCGGTGGAGTCCTCGGAGACAGCAGTTCCGCGGAAGAAAGACGCGAAGATAGCTTGCCGGGCATCGATAGCCCCAGCCGCATACGCAGCTCCTATCTCGCCGGAGGAGTGGCCCGTCACCATCTTTGGCAGAGCACCCCAATCTTTGAGTAAATCCGTCAGGGCAATTTGCACCGCCGTACACAGTGGCTGTGATATTTCTGCGGCACTAATATCACAGTGTTCATCACGCAGAATACTCTCCAATGTCCAGGCGGGCGCATGTTCTGGATCAAGAGCTCGGAGGCAAGAGTCAAGATAACCTATGGTCTTCCTAAACATGTGGCTATGGCTCAAAAGCTCTTTGCCCATTCCAGCCCATTGCGCGCCCTGTCCAGTATAAACAAAGACCAGCGGGAATGGTCCTTCACTCTCAAGATTTCTCAATTTCAGGCTCGCCATATTGATCCCCTTATTCAGGCTCGCTTGGGATTGGACGAAAAAGCCACGAGTGGCCAGCTTGGAGCGACGACAGCTCAAGGTAAAAGCCAGATCATCGATTGGGATTTGCCGAGCTGAGTGGGAAGCGAAATCAGCCAAGTTACTAGCCATCTGTTGGAGGGATGTCTCAGATCGAGCCGAAAGTGGTAACAGATAGAGCCGTCCTGCATTTTCGCCTACCGGCGGATCCCTATAATTGTTAGTTAATAGCTCCATCTGCGCAGCTTCCAGGATAGCATGGCTGTTTGAGCCTCCGAAACCAAACGAATTGACCGAGGCTCGCGGGACCTTTGATACCGGCCACGGTTGATTAGCAATAACAATGTCCACGTTCCATTCTTTTAATTTGAGGCTCGGGTTGATCGCCTTAACACCGGCAGTCGCAGGTAGTAAATCATTTTCGAGCGCTAGTGTGACTTTGATTAGGCTTGAAAGACCGCTGGCCCCTTCGCTGTGACCAACATTCGGTTTGATCCCCCCAATGAGGGTCGGCCGTCCCGTCCGATGATGAAAAACATTGGCTATGGCCTCGACCTCCATAGGATCGCCGACCTTAGTACCGGTCCCATGCGCCTTCCGCTGTCAGTATGGTAATTTGCCAGGATTCAGTGAAGCCTACTTCAACATAGTCAGTGTCTCCCAGATCCAGACCAGCGCGACGATACGCCGCCCGAATGACGGCCTTTTGGCCTTCCACACTAGGCTGTACAATGCCTGGTGTTCGGCCGTTTCTGAGCATTATGATTAGCACTTGGGCCCACCACCTATGTGGGAAACTCACCCGTTGACAGAGGTTCCTCGAATAATCGAGCGGATGGGATCACCATCCCTTAGTGCATCACTGAGCCGCTTCAGATATACGGCTGACACCCCTTCCGCTCTACCATATCCGTTGGCCGATTCATCGAAGGTATGGCACATCGAGTCTGGGGATAAAATCCCCGCTTTCACGGCAACCATCTGCTGCTCCGGAGACTGGATGAGGTTTGCAGCAGCCACCACCGCCGCATCACAATCATGGGCATCTAGGGCCAAACAGGCCGAATGCAGTGCATACAATGACGATGAACAAGCCGTATCAACCACATGGGATGGGCCACGCAGATCGAAGCAATGTGTAATCCGATTCGCCAGCACGGTCAGGCCGGATCCCGTGGCACTATATCGGGAAAAGTACTCCGGGTCTTTGTACTGCATGTTCAAGAAATCGTTGGTGAAGTTGCCGACATAAACGCCAGTGTTTGAGCCCTGGGCTATTTCCAACGGCACACCGGCATTCTCCAACGCCTCGTAGGTCACTTCGAGGAGCTTCCTTTGCTGGGCATCCATGGACATGGCTTCAAGGTTGTTGATCCCGAAGAATGCATTTTCGAAGGCCCGGATATCCTCCTGGATGAAGTATCCACCGGTTGAATTGATGCTTCCTGGTCGTTCAGCATCTGGGTGATAATATGCCGCAGCATTGTAGCGCTCCGATGGAACGACGCAATGGCCCGTCTCGTTCCTGACGAGCAATTCCCACAGTTTGGATGGGGATGAAGCTTTTCCTGGTAGTCGGCATCCTAATGCGCCTGTCAGTGCACCGAATTCGATGACGGTCAGCGCTCCTACCTATGCCCACGATCGCGATTGGTTCACCTTGGCATGCATGAGTCAATGCTGGGTGCTCCATTCTAGTGCCTAATGGTGGTGTTCAACCCAACAGCGTCTTGTCAAAATCTTAATAGGTGTGTTAGAGAGGAGCGTGCGAGTACTTAAGGTCTCATTATTGTGCGCGAAACGGCTTATTTTATTCTCTAACGCTTTCGCGAGTCAGACACAGAAACCTAAGCTGGATATGGCAACAACCTCACCGGCAAAACACGGGCTAGACAGGCTTACAGCCCCCATAGGCGACTCAATTATAATTGGTTTAATGACTTATGCCGCCTTTCTCTCCGCCTCCTTAGCATCTTCCTATACCCTCACTACACCAAAAAAAAGCTATTTTTGGAATGAAATTGCGCTTATGCCTTTAAAGAGTCCCATTATATGTTAGTTTAGAGAAACGGGCATATAACTAAAACCCGTTATAATATCTCAACTACCCGAAGAAAAAGGCAGTAGTATTTCGATTGATTAATCGGGGTACCTAAGTACCTAGGCACGTATGGACACCGGGGCCGGCCCGGGCGTGGACGGGCGAACGGGCGGGCCCACCCTGGCTCCCCTAAGCTTACGCCCCACAAGAGAGATAATCTATGTTGTACAGAGTACACCTATATTAAGATATATAATAACTACGTGCTAAGATCTAGCCCACTACCTTCCTAGTAAAATCGATTTTAGGACGACAACCATGGAAAAAATGGCTACAGATATACAACCTCGGAATTCCCCCGCGGATATATAGTGGTAAGAGGTAATTTTCTGCCAGGCAATATTTGTCAATCACAATCACAATCACCATTAAGTCAACCATGGCGGCTGTAGGCCTCTATCGGCGTATCGCGGGGTGTGATATCTGCCTTCGACGCAGTAAGTGGATGGGCCAAGGCATAATTGCGCAGGAATGTGGATCAAGCCGTTTGGTCCAATTGGACTGGCGATCTTCCTCAGTTTACTAGCGCAAACCTAAGGCCACCTGATGTGACACCAAATGAATCTCTCCAGCCGTCAATACTCCGTAGGCCGTCAGCCGAGTGGGTTTCACAGATACTGGGATGTCCCTGTTTATATTACCCCTTTCTCTACCTCCTTCTGCCTTTTATGTATGAAACCGCAAAAACCGCAAAAACCGGGCAGAATGTGTATTGAAAAAGACATCTGAAAAGATGCCCCAACGCCGCAAATGCGGCCGACTATGAAGGTACCCTTGTTTGAACTAGTGCAGATTGCAATATTGTCCCCACATACTCCGCAGGGATTGTGTTTGTCTTAGTTATGTACAGAGCTGCATGTCAGGCCAAACCGCTCGTGGGTGATTCTCCTTGCATTAACTCCTTCGTTGCCTTACTGTTTATTGCCTTATTTCTTCCGCCTGTCCTTTCTTCTCGGGTTAGTATGCCCCCTCCCCCCCGGGTCCCCATTCATACCCATGATTAAGCTAAGTTCGCTCTAGGGTCGAGAGATAGCGGCCGTAACATGTCTTCTGCAGAGTCTGATGGCAACCGACAGCCGGGGCTCACTGCCCTTTGTGTTTTGATGCTCATACTGGCTGTGGTCTCGGTCGCCCTCCGCTGCTGGTCTATCTGGGGCTCGAACAATCGCAGGTTTGGCTATGATGACGCATTTGCCATCCTAACTTTGGTACGTACTGTTCCCTATAGTGGCTTTCCTCGAGTTGGCGCAGAGGGTTGTGTGGTAACCCTGTGTCTGATAGCCCTTCATTATCGCCGAATCGGCCCTTATATTCTACTGGATCTCTTTGGGCCTAGGGCGTCATTCAGCCACATTACCCGTTAGCAATCAACTCGCGGGCCCAAAGATTATCTTCGCTGCTGCCTACTTGTATGATGCATGCATTACCCTGCCCAAACTATCGGTGCTCTGCTTCTACCATCGAGTGCTGGGACGGGGAGGCACCTGGGTCCACCCTACGCTCTGGGGGGTCGGCGCGCTCTGCGTTTGCTGGCTGATCGGGGCCTGGTTGGCCACCACCTTCCAGTGTACGCCCATTGATGCCGCCTGGGAGGCTGTTCCCGACGCCAGATGCTTCACACAATGGAAATTCTTTACCGGGACTGCTGCCCCCAGTGCAATCCTGGATTTGATTATCCTGTTAATTCCGCTGCCACTCCTCTGGTCGTTGCACATGACCAAGTCGAAGAAGGTCATGCTAACTGGCCTGTTTATTTGTGGTTACTCGTAAGTTCCCCGCGCACATTAGGTGCAGTCCGACCATCAGGAGCTTGCTAACAAACATTGACGCGTGCCAGAGTGGTCATCTTGTCTATCGGTCGGTTAATTACACTCCTCAAGGCCGGCGCCGCCTTGGAAGAAGATCTAACATGGAGCACTATCGAATATATCTGTTGGGTGCAATGTGAAGCCCCGATTTCTCTCATGTCTGTTTGCCTTCCAAATATTATGGAACTGGTACGCCGCCTGCGAAACAGAAATAAGCAACCCAGTATCAGCGCATTTTCCTCATATGGGAGTAAGCAAACTGCGTCGGAGTTGTTAAGTGGCAAGCGATCGTCATTTCGACCCCTCGAAGAAGACAGAGAGACTATTCTGATGGACCAGTACTCGGAGAATCCGAACAGGCCTCACGTTAAAACCACCATCGAAGCAACGCGATCGGTCTCGGGGCGGGATAGTGTCTAACGCATTGCAAGCATGTTTCTCTCTGTTGTTTCTCTCTGTTCTGCGTTTGTTTTTGGTCATGTGTCTGCCCTCTGCTAAAATATATAGGAAACCCCACTAAAAGAAAACTAATACATTAAACGACTTGAAATTTCCACGAGGCTTAAAGAGGGTTACATGACGTAAAGTAAATTTACAGTGCAAGCCCTGTAGTTATATTTCAATAACTATTTGAATCCGAAGTTCTCTACTCCTCCACCCGTAATTGCTCCAACAGGTCCGCTTGAATGTCGTGTAAAAATTCCGTCATCTGATCCGCGGTGTGAAAAGCCTCATTATATACCAGCCTTAGTGTCAACTGATCACGGAACGTCCACACAAAAACCACTCCTTGGCGCGATATTATTTCCACGCCAACCCCGGCATGCGTGATGCTAAACCCGCGCTCCGGTGTTCCATATTCGCGGTCCAGATATTTCTCCATGATCCCCATGCTGCTGATATCGATATCGCTGGGCGGCTCTGTCGGGGCCGGCAGGTTCTTTATCACCTCGACCAAAGTGGACGCATACTCCCGGTGCGCCTGCAGATACTCGCTGCTAATTCCCTTCTCATACTCCGCCTGATACATGCGCGCATTCTCCTCCCAGGTGCCGGAGGTGTCGACCCGCGCCAACCAGCCAGAGGTGTATAGTCCGGCTGCCGCCGTAGGAGTGGAGTACGGTTCGGGTAGATATGGCCGCAACGACTGTTTGATGGTGCTGGTGTAGTGGCGGTTCTTGTGCCCGGCAATTGCGTGCCGGAAGTTGACCGCGGCCAGACTGGCATGCACGGCGGCTGTGATCCCAACACCGCGTGCTTTTGCGGCGGACACAGCGGCGGATGTGGTGGCGGGGGAGAACTTAAGCTCGGCGGCCCGCGTGCCGGAGGGTACACTCGAGGCATCCCCAGTATAGGGCACACCAAGGGCGCCCGCCGCCAGTGCAAAGGTGCCAACTGCCCCATGGGCGACAGCCTTCTGCTCTTCGGTCGCGGTGAGGGGCAGGTTGGCGGCTTCTTCGACCGGTGGCGATAGCCGTGCGACCTCCAACCCCCACTGAAAGGAATCGAACGGGTCTGGCAGCTTTCCCGAGAGGATGGTGTCGGCGTGCGAGGCCATCAGGTCCACCAGCTGGCCGAGGAGGAGCAGGCCACCGACTCCGTCCATGCGCCAGTGCGCGGTGTGTAGGAGTAGCTCACTGGATTGGGGGACATAGTATAGCCGGGCGTCAGGTGCTGGTGCAATGGTGGGAATCACCTCGTTGGCGGACTGGGCGTCGGCCTCAACGGTAAAGGTCTGCGAGGCCCATTCGCTAAGAGCATTGGCAGAGTCAGGAACCGTGTAGACTAGGTTGGAGTTGGAGTCTGGATGTACAGCTATACTGGGGTGTTGGAAGCGCAGATGCAACCAACTGTAGCGGATGAGGGTTGGTAGAATACCGGGCGAGCCCGACAAGGCCGTAAATGTCCCATGAGGACTGATGGTGGCCGTGTAGTTGACGGCCCAGTGTTCACGACCGAGCGGATGGCCGGGATCACTGACTAGCTTGATAAACACCTCGTTGGGACCAAGGGGCCGGGTGAAAGTGTTCGGCGAGTGCTCGGCTGACGTCCACGGCATGTTGAGGCGGGGTGATTGATGGGTGATCGGTGCAGGACAGACCCTGCGTTGGTCATCGCGGTGTATTAAATAGGGGTGCGACCAAGATCAATTGGCTCTAGGCACCGAGTCGAACCTTGCCTTTAGGCAAAACGCCCGGATGGGGTGGAGATCCGTCTCCGAGGGAATTGATATCATTATCGGATAGCGTGAAGACCGCGGAAGACCAATCGTGGCCAGGTGATCACCTGTATCCCTACAGGGGGCTGACACAGTGGACCGATGTAACCTGAAAAGGGGATCGTCGATTCAAGGAGCGACCAACCAACGGGAAGGCCTGCTGCCACTGCCGCGAATGCGGGCCCTCAGTTGTAAGGGCCCGAGCTCGACATCTGACCTTGCTGTATCCAGCGGAACCCCGGTCGATCTATGTATCTGGCCAGTCTTGGCCTTGGTCAGAGTGGCGACAATATCCTGGACTTTTAAACCCAAAACACCCAGGCCACTAATATATTTGAGTAGTATTGGCCCGTTTGTGTACTCAAGCATCATACAATACAGTACATGACAGTCATTAGGCGTACATTAAGCCCCGCTGCTGAAAGTTGTGGGCTGGGACGCGACAGCCTGCATGCATAAATAATACTCAAGTCGACACCAACGATACAGGTTGTTGACAGAATCCGCTGTCCATAGCCCCGATGCAGGTTGAAGGTGTTGCTCTAGTCCTTGGTGCTGGTATGCTGTCCATTTCGTCCCGTTTCTTTTTTTTTTTTCATCTGCCTCGCCGATTCCAACGGCAACTCCCGGGCCAAACTAATATGTGAATGAATTGAACTATAGGAAGTGGCATTGGGTGTGCGGTTGCCTATACTCTCGTCGCGCACGGACTCACCACTCTAGTCTGCGCTGACATCAATCTCTCCAAAGCCCAAGAAACCGCCACATCAAGCTATGCAGTCGCAGGGCGAGAACGAGTAGGCTACGAGGCAAGTGCCTACCATGTTGACGTCCGTGAGGAGGCGCAGGTGCAAGCGTTGGTGGCGAGAGTCAAGGACCGGCATGGTCGCCTCGATATCTGTGTAACTACGGCCGGGGTAAGCCAGTCAACGCGTGATTTCCTCTCCATGCTAGACGATTGCTGACCACCCAAGGCAAGACCCCTGCTGCCAATCAGACCCCGATCAGTGATATGAGCCTAGAAACCTATAGGAGCATGGACGAAGTGCACAATATCGGGTGCTTTTTAGTCGTCCGCGAGGTCATTCGGGTAATGATCAGCCAGGAGCCAGTTTTGACTAGACGCCATAACCAAACCCGGGGTTCAATCGTAGTGTTAACCTCGCTGGCCTCGGAAGGGGCGTTTCTTGGAGTGGGCAATTATAGCGCGGCCAAGCACGCCGTCAAAGGGCTGGTTCAAACTGCCGGTGAGTCCTTGCCTTCGTTAGTTTACGTGCATTTCTGACTCGATGGGGCAGCTCTTGAAAATGCACGCAATGGTATCAGAATCAATGCCGTTGCTCCCTCGTATGTTTCGGGGCCCTTGATGGACAAATTCCTGGACGGTGCACCGGCCATCAGGGATGCTATGCTGGGTGATTTGCCGATGAGACGGTTAGCTAACCCGGAGGAGGTATCCGACGCGGTAGTGTTTCTGGCGTCTCAGGCTGCCAGCTATATTAATGGGCATACACTGGTTGTTGACGGGGGATCATCATTGCAATTGTCAAACCAGCCTTTTCCGTGACAATATTTGATTGCTGGTAATTTTCCTGTTGAATGAATGACGATCCCATCTCCCATACTTGTTTGCTAGCAGACTAGGCGATTGGTTGTTAGATTTCAGGGTATAAATAACCTGTCTTTCTCATGAATTGATGAATTAAGACTTCTTCCTTCCTCTTCTTCTTCTTCTTCTTCTTCTTCTCCGTCTGGCAGTAGCCATAGCAAATATTAATAGTTGATTCACGCGACGTAGAATATGCGAACAAAAGGCAACAAAATACCCCAGAATGGATTGGTCTGTTCTCTCGATCAGATCGGTCCGTTCTGGTAGACTGAGGTATTATTTTGGTAGCCGTTTGATCACGCAATGAGACTCTACCGCGGCGAAGGTGGCCTTCGGTTCTGTCCGAGATGGTACACAGGGGTCGTACCCTGCCTAGTACGATCCAGCAAAATCAAGTTGATATTCATATCCAGTTAGGCTCGGCAATTTCCTTTTTAAGATTTGTGAATACCGTCAACGTTTAGGTCTAGGGCTACGTTGTTGCAAGATATCATCATACAACGCAGTGTCTTCTACGCAAGGACTGCCCAGAGATTTCTGTCAAGCGACACGACATCGGGACGACACCATTATTAGACAGTGCTTGTTTGCTTGTCTCCTACATAGATAGTAACCCCACCTGCAGTGCTTTTCCTCCAACAACTCTTTCTCTCCTCCCTGCATCCGTGGTTTCATGTAAGCGCCGATGAATCCCTTCAGGTAGTGGCAGTTAAGGGATCTCTTCCCACCAAAGCATCTTGGATCCTTATGAGATCTCCACCTTATCATCACCGCTTAGCTCAATGTCACTGTTGGTCAAGGAAATATTCAGAAAATGACCGAATCTCCAATTGATGCTCTTTCCGAAGATCATAATCTTCACAAAGAGCACCGATATATCCGATATATCAAGAAGGGCAACACTTTACTACCATATCCATCATATGTGGATCCACTGAGCTTTGATGCTGACCAAGAGCTGATCCTTGTCCTCCATAGTGATCCGAGTTGTGTCACTAGTACATAGAGTGGTATGCTAGGGCTGAACCGAGGTCCCGGTCCCTGAAGTGATTTCCACTAATTTCAGTGTGAATGGAGCTAAAATGGAAACGGAATCGGAAGAGGCTTCAAAGCCTAACTTTCATGCACCGAAGGGGTTGATTGCGTGACTATTATTCCCGGGTTACCCTGCAGGAGAAATGGCACAACCTAGAATATGAAGCTAAAGAGTCAACATGCCTTCAACCTTAGGATCTAATCTCAAAAATCCAAAATATTGCTCGTCTACAAGAGCTTGAGGAGCTGTATAAATGCACTGCAGATAACTCTCCATCTCGAATCCCGATGCTAAAAGATCTGCAAAAGCCCGCTCGACCACTTCCCAGCGACTCGCGGCCACGTGCGGGAATGTACGAGCGCTATCTGCACTGTAAAGGGAGGCTGTATGGGAATCAACTGCTAGACATGTTGCCCGATCAGATCGCTCAGTGTTCACTCACACAGACATCGCCCTACGCAATGTGATGGCAGACGAGCAGAACGTGGTTACCCGGCATTCTTGACTCGGAATTTGTGGGATGGTATCCTGACTACTAGGAGTATGCGCAGATTATGTGGCCGGACCTTTGGAGGCACTGGCCTGTGTGGATGGCGAAGACAGCACCACAGCGGTGGGATCTTGAAGGAATCATTGCTTCAAGAAAGGTTTTGTTTTGAGTTGATAGGGGAGTACTACACGCTAGTTGAAAACATTCAGCATGTACTGTCAAAGCCATAATAAACAAACAAGCCGTTTCTATATATTCCACTTCCACTGCTTTCGACAAATCCAAGACAAACTCCCACTCATCGTAGCAAGTATGAACGCTGTCATGACGAGAGAACTAGGAAGCAGGCGTTCAGGCGTGTATCGCAGCAACTCAACTTTGACAAATCTGCCAGAGAAGGCAGTCCAGCCTTCCCTTTTCAGATGTCCGGGTATCATGTGCGTCGAAGGCTGAAGGAAGGAACGACTCGAGATATGGGCTGGTGTTGTGCGGAGGTTGTGATATGAATTTTAATTGGTTACCATGACTAGCACTTTGACTGTAGAAAAGGTGGTGAACACGGGAATGAGAAGAAAAAGACTAAAGACAAAGAAAATGATATTCGGTACTAGTATGACCTTGGGGCTAGATGAGGTGGACACTATTCCGAAAAGCTGTCACTACCACGTTCAGTCCCTTCTTCTGCTAGGTATAGACCACATTTTTATTGGCCCATTCCATCTGAAGCATCTTCAATGTGTCGATTCATTGGTCTTTCTATGTCTCTTGTGCTTCTTTAATTGAGATAACCTTCTTTGGTGCCACTGTCGGCTCCGGTTTCTTCTCATTGCTAGGATCACATAGCTCCCATACGTCAAATTGCACTGCAATTGATTCGATGTTGGCTAACCATACATCCTATGTCATTGTATCCTTTAGTATAACGCGAGAGGATGCACCCGCGGAGAGGTATTCAGTCATGTTCGTTGTATACGTTGTTCGTTGTCCTTTGTGGACAGAATTCCGATTCTTGATTCAGGGGTTGTCTCAGGGGTTGTCTCAGGGGTTGTTTCGGCGAGGGCAGTTGACGATGCAGTGTCAATTTAGCCTCAATTTCGACGATAGCTAGGTTTTAATAGAACGATTCCGGCCTCATAACTGACAGAAAGCTGGTGTACGAACAATGTATGGTATAGATGGCCAATTTTGACAACTCTAAAATGACAAAATCCGCTATTTCAACAATCTGTGCGGACATCGATGACTAACTGTAACATACACTTTTGTAGACCTCAAGAAAGCCCACCCAGCCCACAGCCCAACCCAACCCAACCCACCAAATGGGCTGGGTTTTGGGCCTATGCTTCGGGCCCATCGATGGGCTATGGGCCCGGAATGAAAGCCCACAGGTTTAATGGGGGCCCATGAACTAAACAATACAAACATGCCAATTTATCGTAGCTACGTAAGTAATGCTTTTTTTTTGGGTTTTTAGGTATTCAAATTACCGTTACTATAGAGAAGGTAGTGATTCTAAAACAACTCAGTCACCTAGGCCGATCAATCATGATATATATATCTCTTCATACTAATACTCAGTGATCCTCCTAGGTACGAATTCGTGAACCACGGGTCAAACTAGATCTTTTTAGGGTGACTTTATATGAAATCTAGCGTTATAATACTAAAATGAGTATAATATCTACTTAATTCCCACTTCTTACTATGACAATATAATAATACTAAATATATAGGTTGGTATATACGTAAAATACAGCTATTAATCAGCTACTTTATATGTGCTAAGACTGTATTTATGTATAGAAATGGGCCTTGATGGGGGCCTTATGGACCCCCATAAATGGGCTGTGGGCTAGGGGCTTGGGCCCATTTGTGGGCTATCTTGAGGTCTACACTTTTGTATGGTATGCCTGGTATCCAATTTCACATGATGTTTCCGGTATAATACCTGGTTTCTACCATGTATTCGGACTTAGTATTCGACAGCTTTGTCAGAAGGTGCACGTCAGAGTTCATGGTGCAGATATGACATAGATCGAATTGTTGTTGAGGAAGCTAAGTTACAAGGCTAAGAAATTGATATGCTTGTTAAGCTGTAGATCAAAACAACGCAGGCCTGTAAGAAAAGGATTAGTATGGAAGTGGAAGGACACGTTAGCAGCGTAGGAGTATACAGGATATTCAGGTGTAAAATTGGGGTGTTCAGGGCATTCAGGTGGATATGGCCAACTGAAAGGGCTGAAGGGAGTTGGGTGGAAACAACACTTTGATTGCAAAATAAAACTAAAAACATAGAACAGCATGGCTAAGATCGTGGTCAGTCAGCTCCCACGGTATCTGCTCAGCTTCACTGAGCTCTAGTTGGTTGGTTGATTCCATCCGTTTCCTATTTGTTACCGTGGACACTAAGCTGGCAGTATGCTCCTCGCAGACAATAATTACATTTGAATTCGATGATTCATACGGCAATGAATACGGGCTTCCAGAAGCTCGAGTAAGAGGAGAACTTTACTAAGATCTAGGCTTCACAGTTTCGAAGTATAGCTATGGTCTTTGCAAAGCTGCTAAATTGTCCCGGCACGCCAATAGGTATAGTTTGATTGTGTCTTTAGCTACTCCTAACGTTCGAGTGTAATTACCTAATAATGCATTCGTGGGGCACCCACCCGGGCAACCGCAAGGAAATGTTTTGCCGCCTATACTCCCTGAATACATTATCAACGGTTGGCGCCATTGACACCAGACTCAATGATTGGGCCATTATAGGCCTTCCTCCCACTGACCAAATACCATACTAGCCCGATAAGGAACTCGCCAGTGAAAACTACAATTGACCAGTTCATGCTCGCCAGAGTAACAGGTATCTCGGCGGGAAAGAAGGAGAAGAAGATGGCGATCGTTAAAAAACAAATTGAGGCAATATTGATAATAATGCCGAATTTGCCGAGTTTCCAGGGGCCATACGGAATCTGCTCTCCTTTGATCTTCTTTAAGAGCATGAGGACAATGGCAATTTCGTAGGAACCGAACAAACCCGCCGTGGTCAGCGAGATGATGGCGTTGAATGCTGCCGTTGATCCAACGTTAATGATGCAGATACAGCCGGTTATGGATGCGCAGAGGCCAACAGCGCGGAGAGGGAGTGCGGATTCGGAGCTGACCTATATGTGTGTAATAAAATTAGTCACTTCTCTCTACGGAGGCAAAGGAGGTGATAGTCAACATACGTGAGCCAGGAAATTGGAGAATGGCAGTCCCTTGTCTCTGGCAAAGGCCCAGGTGAGACGCGATGCGGAGGCCAGGAAACCAAATGACGCGCAAATGACCAATGCTGTGGGAATGGCGGTCATCACGGACGTTCCCGCATGGGACTTGGTGGCCGCGTAGAAGACTTCAATGAAGTCGTAGCCGGTGGCGCTGTTCAGGGCCTCATCCACATTTCCGATACAGAACAGGAAAGCAATGACAATGACGAACCCAAGGGTACCGTTTAACAGGATTGTGCCGATCATGCACCAGGGAACGATAATAGAAGCATTGATGACTTCTTCGGCTATGGGGATCTGTTAGCTTATGACATATTCAATTACTGACTTGAATTTTACCCATGTGGCAGGGGCCATCATAACCTGCAGAAATTAGTTAGAAAAGATCATACCGGAAGGAAGGATGAGTGTCACACCAATGAATGGGAGGTTCGTGCCCACCAGTCCAATCAACCAGGTCAGACCCGCGTTGTTCCACCCCGAACTGTTTTCGAAAGTCCCAAAAACGAATGAGGCATCTTTGTGAGGTGCAAGATAAACGAGAGGAATGAGGACGGCGAAAAATCCCGCGATATGCAAGATCAGAATCAGACCCTCGACCTGAGGAAGTAGCTTTGCCTCGATGGAGTTGATAATCACGCAAATAATCAATGCAGCAAACATCATCAAGGTTCCCTGCCAGCCTTCCGCCACATAATTCGGATAATTCAAGACTACAAGCCCTTGGGTGACTGTCGCTGCAAAATAGACTCCAGCTGCAGTGTTGGCCCACCATCCAATCATGGCCATCCATCCCGTCACCCAGCTCAAAAATTTTGCCTGACCCTTCGGAGCTAACATTGCCACCCAGTGGTACTGTCCGGAGGAGGTAGGGGCCCTGTTGTCTGTTTAGTTTTGGGTCTTGGATTATTTGGGCGGGTTTCATACATCGAGGCCATCTCGGCCAGCGAGGATGCAGTTACCAAAGCGCCAAACCAGCAAAATAAGAATCCATAGACGAGAGTCACTGGGCCACCATCAATCATTGCAGTTAAATTAGCACTGAGGTGAATGATTAGTTCGAGTCCAATGAAGGTTGGGACAGCCGAATCTCACAAAAGCACAGCCTCCCAAGTGCACATCATGGTGGTCGTGAATCCCAACATGGACAAGAATCCAAAGTTTCGCTGCTTGTGTTTAGTAAATCCACCCTGAAATCCCTTCTTCAGTGAGGCCATACCTGAAACTGCTGTTTCTTGCCCTGCTTTGCCATATCTTCGTCATCACGATTCTTGTATTTGCTGGAGCCCAACTCTTGGACCACCATCTCGCCATTCTTGAAGGGCATTTTGGGGTTGTGTTGCAAAATCCAGCAAAGGTCGACGATAAAAGGGAACCGTCGGGGTAGAGGGAATAGGAATAAGCTAAGAAACAAGCATTGAAAGACAAAAGTCCGTGCTTAGCACCCTTCTAGTTATTGGACGTCCAAAAAGATACTCGGAAATGTCGCTTAGACCTTGGCGGGTTTATCAAGTTCTTTTCGTGAATATGGGACATTTTCCCGGAATCCGGATCCCTCACAGATTAGGTGCAATCCATTTCCACTCAAGACAGAAACCGGTATGTGGAATCAACGGGAAATTTGCAGGGCTATTCGTTGACACGCCTAAGCTACGTATACACTATACACTAGCTTGGCCCTTCCGGTGTACTCCGTACGCCACAAGGATCCATTATAGTATTTCCGAGTTAACATTCCGCGCACGGTGTGCAAGACGTATTCCATTACATTAATTAATTCAAAGCATATTGGCAGATCAGAACCATGCCCCGCTGCTGTGGGGGCTGCATGTAGCAGTTCTAAGGTGTGATTCGGGGCGCACTTAGAAGCATCATTGGTAGACTCGTACTTATCACACAATCACTGTAAATATTCCTAAAGCAAATTTGCTCCTTTAATCCAAATGCACGGAGTAGAAACTTTG